CTGTAACAGCGTCCACGCAGCTTACATACTGTGTACATTAAACAACGCCAGTGTTTTCATGTGTTTGTAATACGTGCCTCTGATGATGGTTTTTCTTGAACCGAAACATGTAAGGCAAGTGAGATAAATAAGTGACCTAAAAACATTGTTACACTCGACGGATTTTTCATTGACAATTTGTGATTGATAGTGTAACGGACCAAAAATGAAACAATTAAAAAAAAATTAAACAATTTCAATATCACATTAACATTCTCAGAATGGGGATATGCAAGTCTTGTTCACTCTAAACACTACAAGCTATTCATACACATATTATGTTACATAGCTCTGATGTATTCTGTTACAGAGTTCAAAGATGCGAGAGTATACTGGTGAAAGTTGCTTACAAATATTAATACAATGATCCAGTTAATTTTGCAAATACCAGTATGTGTATTGAAATGTTATATAATCATACGCTCTGTTAAAGTTATTAGTAGTCATGAGAAGTTTGTACATATGACAGAAAAATTTAATATCTGTAACTGTCCAATTGGTTTCAGAAATTTGCCTACTAATCACAAAGAGTTTATATTTATGGAAATTAATTTTCAAACATGATATAAAGTTGGATGACAAAATCAGTGTTATGACTGGGGGAAGAAAGAAAGTCTGATGTCAAATAATTGGGTTCTACTGTAGAATTATGCTACCATATGCCACAGCTAAAAATTAATTTCTCTGTACACAATCAATATTTGAGTATTATAATTACATGATATGCTGAAAAAAAAAATTGAGGTGTATCAATGGAAAAGGAATCTTTAAGACGGAAAGAAGCAATTTAAACTCAAGGAACTAAAATAACTTCTAGGTTTTAGTAAAGTAGTTACTCTATTCTGCAGAAAGCACTGTCACAGACACTTTCTTGTCACTACATACCTGATACTTTTCTAACTGCTCTTGCTTCTCTTCAAGTGTGGACCGTGGTGTATAATTTTTAAGAGCAGTCTCTGACTCTGATAACCAGATAAGGAGCCGATCAAAGGAACCTTCATACTCTGACCACTGCTGGAGCCGTTCTTCTAGCCCATGGAGGACATCATTTAATGCAGCTACAAATTTCTCAAAGTCAAATCTGGAAAAAATATAATGTTAAATACATTAGGTTTAGAAAGGTAAATATAATGGTAAAATTCTGAATAAAATATTACTGGCTTTTAGGATCCCAAATTTTTATTTTTTGTAATCATGAGGTTTATGAAAATAGTTCATCAGTTTCTTTTCATGTACGAGTATATCAGTTCTTTTAACTGTGATCTAATATTATCTGAATATACAATGATATATCAGTTTTTTTTAACTGTGATCTAATATTATCTGAATATACAATGATATACATAACTGAAAATACAAGTGGTGATAGTAAAAATACAATGTTTTGCTTCCAATCTTTCAGATAAGCACAAAATGCTGAGAATAGTCACCTCCACTCTATGCTGTCTTATATTTATTAACAGATGTTACATTAAAAACCATTTTTCTTCATTCACATATAACACCATCTTACAGCATGTTACAATGACGCAGTATGTCACATTTTGGCTTTCTGAATACATGATTATTCACCTTTTCAACATTATTAATAATGCTGTTTTTTATTTAAAACAAAGTTTTGGAGACTGAACTCTGTCTCTGACCTCAAGTAAAAACCTACTCAGTTAGGCCCAATCAACAAAGCTAGTCCCTTTCTCCACTGATAGCCATGCAGCGATTATCCAGGTGGCATGTATGGACTTTAGTTAATAAATGCATACAAAATAAAAACTGCACACAGAATAAAAACACAAAATTATTAGAATACTGAACAATGGCATAGTAGAACGTGTTAAAATGAAACTCATAATAATGTTAATTCAATGAAAGTATATCAATGGGAACATAGTAGTAGAATTGATATTGTATACAACAATTAAAAAATAATAAAGCAACTTCAATAATGATGATATACTATTTTCAGATGATAAAATCCTTCTGGCCAAATTTGAAGATTACCTTCAGTTATCAGAATACAATTTGAATAATACTGCTGTAGAATTTTCAATGGATACGAATAATGAAGAATTAAAATCATGGCTTTCATGGCTTGAAGCAACTGGAAGCATATATTTGCCTCAATTAAAGGGCAATATAACAATTTAACAGAAGTATAAATTCAAGAATTAGCAAAATTTATAAAACAATACAGAAGAAACTCAAAAAAATATGGTAAGAAATCAAGCTCTCTGACATGATTAAAAGATCACCCAAAATATAAAGAAATTTGGGAAGACCTTTAACCTATGGAAGTAGTCTGTTTTGTAATATCCATAACGGAGGAGGAGGACAATGACGACTATGATTACTTAATATATGACATGTAGGGCAAAATCTAACACATAATCTGATGTTTTTATTATATATAATGCCCTTTTATATGAGAAAACAATGGTTAAAGAATACTTTAAAGGTACTTACTTCAGATTACCTAGGTCTCTTTCCATGGCTTCTTTTGCTCTGAGTGGAAGCTTGTCTACCTTGTTGGCTACATGATCACTAAGAGACTTGAGTTTTGCTTGGCCTTCTGGAAGACTATCCTGAATCTCCACTACCTTTACTAGACGAGACTGCAGAGCAGGCTTGTTGCCACTGTAATCTGAAACACAACATATTATGAATATACAAATACAAGCACAACTGCATACAACTTCTTTCATATGTTGTCCACCATTATATGAAAATTACAAAACTGCGCTTTATTCGTTCTTGCCCATCACACTAGAAAATTGAATCAAAGAATAATTGATAACACAATCTAGTGTGATTCATTTTGTAGACATATATTGCCTTTATATGTTTCGGTAAGCTGACCATCTTAAGAAGACATAAGATCAACATGTGTAGGAACTACTATTACAAAGTTTGTAATATATTTATATAAAAAGCTAAAATCTTAATGTCTTATATTTAAGATCTTGAACTGAAATGGCTTGTGTCCTTGGGCCTCTTCGGTTAAAGTGGAAAGTTTGGTGTTATTTGGAGTCCTCAGAGTTCCTCACAGTGATGCCCCCCTCTTAGCTTGTTACACTTCTGTAGCACTGTGATGTCTGGTTGTTTCCTTTTTGCTGTTTTGAGGCACGGTTTTGTTGTGTGCTGTGTGGCATATTTATAACCTTGTTCCCTGTGCCACTCCTATGGTCATGTACTCATGTCTTTCACAATGTCAAACATGTTATTCTGGTTATCATTTCCTTTTATGCTCTCTTCTTCGTCTATTAATTTACGAAGTTGTTTAAATTGATGGATACAGTAATTTTCCTTCATACTCATGATACTGCCTTTTCTAGCATATTCAATCATTTCCATCATCTGTTCCATTGGCCCGTATTGTTGATCTTTACCCAATATGTGCTGGTTTAATAAAGAAGAATCAGCTCTTGCCCAGCCCATATTAGGCAAAGATCATCAATATGGGCCTATGGAACAGATCACGGAAATGATCAAACATGTGATGCCTGGCAACAGTTATGTAAACACAGTCCAACACACAACAATAGATAGGCTGTGTTTTGTATATCATCCACGCCAGGCTCAGTGCTGCTAACAGACCAATCAACTCACAGTCTGACATGTGGCATGCGTTTTCTGTGTGGCCTGCGCCATGCAACAATAGAGGGGCTGTGTTTTCTATGTGTGGTATATGCTGAGAGGATATGAGAGAATACAGGAATTGGAATTGACTTCACTTGAGCTCCGAAGTTCCAAGGGAACAGGCCAGAAGAACAATTAGAAGACGTAGTGTGTGTGATGTTACATGTGCTGTAGTACATCAATATTGGGAGTGTGTAATTCAGTAAGATTTTTATAGTTCCTGTGTTATAAATCCACTGCCTGGAAACGGATAGTGATGACGGGTGGAAACATACTGAGAAGATCAGTGTGGAGTGATTATAAATTCTGTAAATCAGCAAAAGTGTAATAATTACTTGTAGTTATGACCTGTTAGGTGGTTAATAAATCCAATTACCAATCTGAACCACATCTTTAGTCACTGATACACATAACAATATATCAGTATACAGACTGGGACTTTCAACACAAAAATTCAGGAGGTTATAGTCCAATGAATAACTAGGACATGTATATCAATATACTAATTGATTTCTTAAATGACAGTCATGCTACATGTTTCGATCCTATGACCAAAGTCAGGCATGTATAAGCAAGCAAATGCAGCAGTGTTCATTGCTGAACTGTGTTCTGCAATGGATCCACTGCCATGCTGTAAAAACTGTATAAAAATTTTAAAACACTATAGAAATTTGTTCATAATTTATATTTTATAGTTTTAATAAAATATATGGCAGTATGAGTCTAGATGTTTGGGTTGTTATGTCTTTGTATGAATGGGTGGGAAGGTGTTATGGTGTGTTACTATTGGGTATGTGCTTTAAGAATTTATGCTGCAGAGATGTGCACAGTTGATGCAATGTGCACCTCAGCCTTTCCTGGTATGTTTTATGTTTTTAGGATGTTGTGCAATAAGTGTAGCAGTCATGTTTTTATTGCTGCTGTATAGTAATTATGTCTATGTTATTAGATCTATGAGTTTTGGTAGGATTTCTTGTGTTATACAGTGCATAATGATAGGTTGGTGAATTTGACTTAGTGGTTTTATTATGTGGTAGTGTGTATTACTCTTAGGTTTACAGGGTTCCTGCTGTAGTGTGTTCTCGTTGTATTCAAGGATGTAGTTGGTTCTGCTGTTGAGGATGAACAAAAATACCTGAAGTATGGAGTTTACCAGGTCAGTGTTCCAAAACACATAAATACACATAAAATATTAATTTAAATAACAAATTCCAATTAATAAAATAGCCTCTATTTTATTACAGTAAATTCCACAAACCTACCTCTATTCTACACCCACAGTACACTAACCTAAAGTAACTGACCAGTCATCACATATATCCTAAGACAACACCACACATATTACACCACATAATCACAACCCTAATGACCCAGATATCACACTGACAAAACAATGCAATCTATGACAACAGGCACACCTAAATCAACCCAACTATACTCTATTTTATTCAATTTAAATAACTTAATGTATAACACTCAATTTTTAACTTTTAACTTTAAACTTCAACACATTATAAAACAGTCACATAGTATATACCCTGAAATTCAATAAAATATTTACATAACATTATGTACTAATAATGGATCCATGTTAGTTGAGCAATACAATTACATCAGTATATATTCATATTAACAACACAAAGATGATCACTTTGAACGAAACATGCAGTGGTATGTATACTAAAAACTAATATTGACACATTAATGTTTGCTTTATTTACTCACAGACTGTTGTGTTAGAGCACCCCTGCCCCTTTATAAGTAAAATGTATGTTAAAGAAACGAAATACTTTAAAGATGAACTCCAAGTAGGGTTAACCTTAAGAGTATTTTATTTAACATATGTTCTGCTAAATAAGCACATGCTTTACTCATACTCCCATACCATATATACGTATATATACATATATCACTTAATTATGCCATGATTTGGTTTATTTATATACCTCATTATCTTCAAGGTATCCTTACCTGAATAGCCTGCAAGTCTATCCCAAAGCTGTTTCTGGTAATCTTGATGTGATTTCTGCAGGTCATGAAATTGCTGGAATAAATCTAGTGATTCTTCAAGTTCAGTGATTGTGACCAGTAAGTTATTAACCAGTTCTTCATAACGTTTCTTGATTGAATTGACAGTTTCTTGCACCTCCTTTCCTCCTTCTTTGTCATTAGTCAATTGCACTAGGGCCTGCGCTTTCTCAGTCACAGCTTCAATTACACGTTTATGGGATATGACTTCTTGAAGATTTGTCTGATAAGAATAAATAAATAAGAAAAAATAAACAAATGATGCTTTTACAGACCCGAAATATTGATACATCTGAATTTTGAAATTCAAGTCCAAATTTTAAATGTACATGGAGTTATATAAGATTCTAATAAATATTGTAATAAGGAAGGATCCCACTAAATTGCTTCCCTGATTATCCCAAGCCACTGCAATTTCTCATCCTCTTTCTACATGATGCATTAGTTGTATCATATCACTAACAGACATGCTGATCACTCCAAACAAATCCAGGCAGGTACAACTACACAAGGGCATCCAGTGCAGGAATGTGTACTTCTGGCATATGTAATTTTACACAGTACTGAAAACATGCCAGATCAGCAATTTTACTTGTCACAAAATCCACTCGTTTCTGTTCCCTTCTTCATGCAAACACTGTCATACCACAGATCTGTGGAAACAATACTTGCATTTCCCCATAACTAAATATATGATCAAGAAAACCATCCTGACACAAAGCTAAATAAAATATGGCAGATATTCAAAAACCTGGAGAACAAATGTGGAGTTAAGGTCTCAGGAAGACATCACTAAAAACGAGTGTTTGGTTAGGTACTATACATTCCACTAGAGAGATCTGGATTTGGGAAAAATGTACATGTTGTGTGGGTCTAAAAGTGGGTATGTGTTGTCAATCATAAAATACACTGAGATGGCTACCAAACTCGAGAAGCAATAGAGTTCTTCTGCATTCTCATAAGTTGTGATGACACTTCTGATATCCTTCCTGGGCAAGAGATATAGACTGACTGCTGACAATTTTCACATACCCCCACAGCTAGCATATAACCTTATTTCTCATATTACAGATTATACATATAGTACAGCCAATATGACCAGAAAATATATGTCCTCAGTTACAGGAAAAAGAAAACTGAAAAACACAGAGGCAGTGGCATTCCAGAGGGGGGAAGGTAATGTTCTTGCAATTGAAAGATAAGGATACTACTGAGTATGATAGAAAATGCAGAAATGGCAAGAGTAGCAGGTGACCTAAAGAAAATTATAAAACTTCAATCAATCACTAAGTATAAAAACCCAATGGAGGAGCAGATCTTACTGACCAGTGCTTATCAACTTGTGCTGTTAAATAGAAAACAAAGTACTACTATTAAAAGATATTCTTTCATCTTTCAGAGGTGTTTCTCTGAAACTCCGTCTCATACTGTAAAGTAGGAAATAAAGGAAATTCTCTGCATTATAGACTGTATGAAACAGAGATGGCTGTTGAGAAGTATCATCTGCAGATAACTGCACAGAAGGCATGATAAACAGTAAAATCTCAAACTCTTCTTTGCCTATCAGAAAGACACTTCCTGAATACATACGCCCAATAGAAAAGATGGAAAGCCCAACAAGGTAGTGTGAATGTTCAGATGACTGTGAGATGCAAGAGGCAAGTGAATCAAAAGAAAGAGTCCATAGTACTGCCCAGACTATGATGTTCTCCTCTGTGTAACTCCTTGCTTCTATGCATACTGCACCACTCCCATCTACCTCAGAACAGTCCTTCTCATAATACCCTTAATGTCAGTGTAAAATATAATACCATTTATGGTGTACTGAAATAATTATATTACATAATGACACTCCAGGCTTTCTGTTATGCTTGAAAACATAAACCTGGGATATCTCAAGGATAATTAACAGAATCCATCATTTTACGAAAACTCAATTTATAAATTTTCACTATAACAAAGCATGTTAATTTTAACCTATTTATCATTTAACGAACATCATTTTCAGTATAACAAATAACTTATGGTTGAAAGTTCAGAGACTTCCACATGCAAACTATATGGAAATTCCATTTTTGATTCATGAATTTTCACATTATGAACAGTTCATGGAAGAAATTACTTTCATAAATTGAGGGATACCTGTACAACGATATAACTTCTTACAATGTAATTATGTGCTTGAAATGAAAGCTCATTTCAATCACTTTATTTCTTTGGGGTTGTCACAGAAATAAGTAAAGAAACGGATTTACTTGGGACCGAAAATCTACAAAAAAAGACACCAGGAAAAGTTACATGCATTTTTATGACATGTTACATTACTCATTTCTGTAACAAGACCATGTATTTCATAGTATTAAAATGCTGATGATTTGGAACACCTTTGTAGATTTCTAACTCTGTAACCATGATCATTAAAACAGTATTAACTCAATGCCAAAAGCTTTTATAATACTAGCGTAGCATGGAGGCCTTGGGAAAATCCAAGTATTCAGATAAATTTTAACCACTTTCTTATTGCTTTATAGAGAATTTATATTTTCATAATTGCTGCTTTCACAAAATCCCTGACCACTGCAGGAGGTGCATGCACTTTGAAGCTTACTACAGAAATATAAATCTTCAGGCTTTCACAGTGGCTTGTAAGAAACGGTTTCCATTCTTTGATAATAATACCACACTGTGATTGGTTAGTTTTACAACATTCTAGAGAATCTAGCTGCTTCCATCTTCATGAAAATGTCTTTACCATTAACATGGAGACAGCAAGGTCCTATGAAGCATCAGCCCACCTACTCTCAATTACTTGGATTTTCTACAATTCAAATAATTTTCCACATTCCAGTTGCTTTGCTTAAAAGTCTGAAGAGTACAATATTTGTTACCTTATGTTTAAGTAGTTTGGAGCGCACTTCTTGTGTAGATGCCCAAGAGCCAGCAGGATCTTGCTGAAGAGTCTTCTCCATGGCATCAAGCCAGGCCAGTGTTTGCTGTAAGGTCTCCTGGTAGCTGCTCCACTGCAAAGACTGAGCATCCTGCCTCTTTTGCTGTTCCTTGATTCCTTCTTCCAGCTGGTCCCATCTAGATAACACACAAGAGAAACAAGAGATTCTAATTCAACTAAGACCAATTAGCATACTGCTGTGCTCTGTAACTAACTTACTGATGTGGTTTATTCGAACAATTGCTCACTCAACATGGTTACTCCATTTCCCACCTCCTCAACTGTCTCCCTCCATCCCTCTTCCAGTCCTTCTCATACCAAACCCCTCTTGCTCTCTCTTCCCCACCCCCTCCCCACACTTGTCTGGTGAGGTTATTTCCTTCAAACGGCAGCTACATATACAGCTGAAACAACCATTCTACTGCAGAGAGTCAACTCATAGAGTCAATACGAGGGTTCTGTTGTATCTACAAAGGCTCCCCTGAGAAAAAAGGCTCATCATTGATAATTACTAACAGAACTTCAGAATTCATGCATAAAATATCTCAACAGCTAGATTTGTACAAACTCTTACCTGTCTCTCACTTCCCGCAGGTCTTGTCGTATCTTTTCTCTGCCCTGAGCTGCTGTATCTGGGAAGAGTCGTTCTCCCAATGCTGTGAGACTGGTCAATTTGTGAGTGGCTTGCTCTCGTTCTGACAAAAGTACATGCAGTCTATTTGACTTTGCTTCCATGTTATTGGTTGAACCCTCTTCCCTCAGAGCTGACAGGTTTTCTTCAAGGGGTCCAAGCCAGGCTACTACTTCCTGGAATTTATCTTCATACACACGATGATCATCCACCAAGCCTTGCCACCGATTAATGACCTCTTTACTTAAAACATGTAACAATTGGTACCTGAAATAATAAAGTATTGTCAAAAATATTCAGAACTTATCTTTATTATGATGCATTTTAAAATCATAAAATTTATACAAAAGTTATCACAGATACACATAAAAGACAAAATGTTGATAGTTCATTTAAGACATTTTTTAATAATATTGTCACATGTTGGGTGTGTCACATGACAAATAACTTTATGCCATATTGAATAAAGCGAATTTATTGAACACTCGCTCTCACACTCACACAATTCACAATTACAATTACTGCCATCGGCAGTATCACAATTACATCCACTGCACTCGGCGACTTCATGATCCGCACTGTGTCACTCTCTGGTCACATATTGCTCAGCCGGCTTTTTATACCATTCCCTGTTGCCTCGTGTTACAGCAGTGTCCCCTGTTATGTCTACTTCTACATTACTGGCTCCTCCTCTGCTTGAAGTATCTTTTTCCGTTTTGGAGGGGGTTGACCCCTCCACAAGTTCCATTTCTTCATTTTCGGTAACCTACTGGAAATTCCTACTGCTCGCTTCACAGTTTCCAGCTCTAGCATCTTCTTGAGAGTCTTATAGGCCGGTCCTATTTTTCTCAGAGGTGATAGATGTCTTGAGCTGCACCCTCCGATACTGATCGCAGTTGCTCTCTCCTTTCTCTCACATAGCAGCCGCTTGCCACCTGGGTCCTTAATTCAATTTTTGCATTCAGGTCTCGTTTGATATCTCCTCCCAAGCATCCGTTCTTTTGGGATTCCTTGAACCATATTGCCATTGCTTTGTTCATAATGCCTGTGTCCTGCATAGCATGTAATCTTCCTTATGGCTGCAGTTACTTCTTTCTGCGGTCCACAATTTCCATGGGTCATAATTTTCCTGAAGATGTTCCTCTTGTGCCATGCCACTTTTGCATGATGGGGCATCTTCCTGCAGGCGGCAGCCAACTTCATCCAGGATCCACAATCTCCTCAGGTCAGTTTCTTCGGCTCTCCACGTCACCCTGCAGCTTGTTAGCCCTATGCCTCCCCTTCCGTCCTTTGACCGGTTTCACTATGGCATCTTCGTTGGGGGCTTCTCGTTCTGCCGCCTCAGGTTTTCTGTCCACTGAGGTCAGCTTTTCCTCTTCTAGACACGCCTCTGTTGTTTCTTGGCAGGCCATCGTCTCAATATCTCTTTCCACTTTGGTTTTGGCCACCATCTCCTTGCTGCTGATGCCCATCATTTTCATCATTTCCTTCAGTGCTCTACACTCGGCCTGTCTGTCAGCCTCCAATCTGGACAGCAACTCTTTATGGCCGGCCTCCATCTTAGCTTGGTTGGCATCTAATTTTTCCGTGATTTCCTCTTTGTTGGCCCTCAATTTTTTTAGCAGGAGTTCCAACATCTGTTGTGTGTCCATTTTTCTTTTTGCAGGATTAGACTCAACGTACTCATAAATTCAACTATTCGTTGAGGCATGTTTAAGTTCGTAAACCACTTCTGACACCAAATTGTCATGTGTTGGGCATGTCACGCGACAAATAACTTTACGCCGTATTGAATAAAGCGCATTTATTGAAGACTCACTCTCACACACACAATTCACAATTACAATTACTGCCATCGGCAGTATCACCATTACGTCCACTGCTCTCGGCAACTTCACAATCCACACTGTGTCACTCCTGATCACACACTCTCTGGTCACATACTGCTCAGCCAGCTTTTTACACCATTCCATTGCCTCGTGTTACAGCGGTGTCCCCTGTTACGTCACAGTGGTAAGTGCTGTTACGTCACTGAGGGGGGGGGTGGAGTGTTGACGGGCCTGTTACCGTAGCAGTGACAGCGCTCCGATGCTGTTACAGCAAAGCTGGCGGGGGATGGGGTGTCCTGCATAGTGCAAATACGTCACAATATTTTAAATTACAATTTGTAAACCTCCAGTCTACTAGATAGACTTTAAAGGATTCTGATGATGGTGTATGCTGTACAGAACTATAAGGTATATTTTGGACTCTATCCATTGTCTGGTATATATATAAGACAAAAAAACCACAACTTTTCGGGGACTGGATCTGTCTCCGCCCTCAGGTGGATGGGGCCAAGATAGACCTACCCAGTTGGGCCCATTAGAAAGAGCTAGTCTCAATCACTGGACAAACCCTGGTCAGTAGAGAACAGCCTATAAACACATGACAACAGGTTCCATCATTGGGAGTGATATTTTGTCTTATATATACCAGACAATGGATAGAGTCCAAAATATACCTTATAGTTCTGTACTCCAATCTCCTGCTTATAAATACATACTACATATTCCAAAGTAGTTATCACACCTGTTACTGATTTGTGAAATAAGTGGTTTGATTCTGTCTGCTCCACTATAATTCAGTAATGAATGTGAGGAATCCACAAAGTCATCAATTTCCTTCTCCTTTGCTGTAATAAGGTCTCTTTTCCCCTTGAAACCTTCCAGCTGTGCTTCTTTCTGAGGCAGTGTTGCTTGAAGTTGTTGGTCCCTGAAGGCAGTTTCTGTTGTACGGAACCACTTTGTGTGTTTATCTAGCTGATCTTCAAATTCTAGCCACTGCTTCAGTGCTGCTTCCAGTTTTGACTCAACAGCATCTAGAAATATGGTAAGTATTTGAACTAATAACACAGTATTCGATATAATTATATAATTTAAGAATACAAGATATTAAAACACATTATGAAGTGCATTTATACAGCAATAATATATATATACATCATTTTTAATCTTCTGAATGTCAATGTACTGAAAACAACTCAGATGCAAAATCATTGCTCATAGGAAATGATTTCTTGACTAAGAAATGTGTCAGTATTGCCTATTAACTCTCTAATAAAATACTGTTTACGATTATATGTTATACAAAAATGTTGTATTGAATAGCCATAATCAAAACTGTAAAACCAATCTGTAAAAAACTGTTCAATTTTCAAGTCAATTTTTAAATTTGGAAATCTTAACCTTAAGGTACTAGGAATCGGAAAATACCAGTAGATGACAATATGATTAATGGAAATTACCAGGGGAAATACTACCATTGCCTGCCTAAGATATAATTCATTGCATGCCACTGCCAAACTAAATCATGAAAATCTGCATCATTAGCAATGGCCAAGCTTCCTTCTGGAAGTATGCAGTGTGGTGTAATAGCCACCTTCTTTCATAAAAGGCAAAAAATAAATTTGTTAACAAAAACGTGGGGGAAACTGAAGGTGGATTTTTAATTTTCCTTAAGTTTAATGTTTTATTTCTTGTGAGAACAGTACCCCTCCAGTAATATCAGATACATGTGCCTTTTATGTAGGAAGAAAATATCACGTGTGTGTGTGTGTGTGTGTGTATGTGCATATATTTTTTTTTAAGAAATAGGTCCTAGTGTGATGTATTATTGTGTACCAACTGGACATATATCATTAGCTTCCACAAATATACTACCCATAATGAACCCTACAGAACATAAGTAATTGCTTTGAAAATCATGTGTATTTTTTCATGACTTATTTGATAATATTTTCAGTATCAAGAACATATTTCTTGATGGTAAGGTGATGACTGAATGACGAACTGAAAGGGAACCAGAAAGAACAGGTCCTGGCCTAATCAACGTACAACCATGGCATTTTACTGGAAAGACTGAGGAAAACAGTGGTAAACATCAGTCAGAATATCCCTTATACCAGCTGAGATTAAACCAAGCACCTCCAAAATACAAGGCTACAGTGTTACTTCTAAACCAGCTTGTTCAGTCAATTACATCTTGATAACATATTTTTAAATGATATGGTGAGTTCATTGCAAGTACAAATCTTGATGATAAAACCCCCATACAATTAATTACTATATCCCCCCCCCCCGTGCACACACATATACATTATCAAATGAATCAGCAGCAGCAAATTGGGACCTCATACAAACCCACCATTTTGTTAAGTACTGGAAACATTTCTATTCATGTGAAGGTTGTGGTGTTACATACTTAATCCTGCTGAAATAAGGTTCTCACAACTGTGACTACTTCTAGGATGTAATACTGTATAATCTGATAGAAGTTCAATGATATTTTGGAGGAACTCACTGCCTCCAACTTCAGGCTCGAATAGTGGAACAAACGAGAAACCAGCAGGCAACACTCTTCTTGTCACCAACTTCTTGCTGGTTTCTTGCTCAGCTCATGCTTCTTCCCTGAAGACAAAGGTCGTCTATTCCTTGGAAATATCAGTGAATTTCTACCGAACTACATGAAATTACATCCCAGGATACAGTACTTTATGATCTGCTTTTAAATTTACTGACCAACTCTTGACAGATATTCTTTCAAACTAGATTCCAAATCTTCAACTTCTCTTTCCAGAATTTCAATGCCTTTAGGGGCTGTACTTTTGCTGACCACCTTACACAGCTCTTGCAGTTGTGTCAGTTGACTGTTTCCTTGGTTTTCATTGTCTTTCAGCATCTGTAACACATATTCCTATATATAATATAAATGAATACATACAAGGAAGTTTCATGGAGAAATGTCATTTTTAGGAACACTTAACTCATTATGAGCAACTTCATGTACTAGATACTTTAATCAGTTTGTAAAACTTGTACACAATGTAAAAACCTTCCTAGCAATTTTTAAGAAGTATTCATAATATATTTATTTTCTAAGTCCTAACTAACTTCTTCAATTTTTTAGTCATTCTTTCCAGGATTTTCTGTTTTCTTTATATTGTAGTCATGACTAAAACCAAACTAAACTACAATACCATTTATTTTGTAAACCAAAACTTTATTTAATATGTATAAGAACATCACTCATGAAGTTTGTCTTCAATCTATACCATACACCTTCCAAACACCAGTCACAGTGCTTGATCCAACTTTCTCAACAGTGGAAAGCAGCCAACAAATCAACTGTAACTGCCTTATACATCAAAGTTTTAACGTATGTGAACATCTGTAAGTTAAATGCCAAGAACTAAACCCTTGACACCATTTTTATGATACACATTGTCCTCAGTCATATAACACATAAGCAAAATTAGGAATAAATTCCATCAACTGCAACAGTGTTATCATGCACTTTGTTCTGTTGGCTAGGTTTGTAGCACAAATTTCTACCTCCTTTTCTATCTTAGTTCCACGCATGTGAGTGCTCTATCACGATTTTTATTGCATATTTTCTTGCTATCTCCTGCCTTGTCTCAGGTGATTAAACAGCTGTGTGAATCTGACAGGGGCTGCTGCCCAATGATTGAGGTTAGCTCTTTCTAAGGGACCCACCTGAGTAGGCGTCTACCTCCCCCTGAATCACCTCAGGATGGAAATAGATCCAGCTTCCAAAATGTCACATTTTATAGTTTCTAGAATACAGGATGAAAAAGTTCAAAACCCCAGTAATTCTGAGTGTTATTAACCATCATCAGAATCCTTTAGAGTCTACCTAAGTAAAGAGCTTTCAACTGCACAGAACAGAAATTTTGCTCAACATTTTGTTATGAATGTAACCTTCTAAATCCAATGTTCTTCCATATTGCATAAGATAACCATCCCCACAAGATATTCCATCAAATATAACCTTAACAGAAGTTATATGCATGTTGGAGAGCTCTACTGAACTGATGTAATGTGAAAATTTTTACCACATGTTCACTTAAATATTACCTTAACAGAGTTTATCCGTTTGCTGATATCACCCTTCTCTCCAGTAACATCATCACAGTAATGTAAACTGTCTTGTTCTGCACTTAGCCAATCTTGGAAGGTTTTACATAATGTACTGAAGTGGCTGTGTTTTTGAACACATTCTTCCAGATTATCTAGGAGATCCTAGAAAATGAAAGGATACAACGAAGTAATCCATATATGTATAGGGTTTGCCATTGCTCTTATTACTAAAATTAACTTATTTTATTATATTGTATATGTTTATCAATATTGTATTACAAATGTGTATGCTACTGGATGACAACTGTAATTCTTAGTTGTGACTGTAACTAGGATGATCTCCACATCCGCACAAGAATGTACTCTCAACAGGATTTATGGAAGGTGAATAAATGAAATTAAATTAACTACATCATTTACTCATCAGCACAGACAAATCATGAAAAATTCTCAAGTATTCTTACAAATACCAACACACAGTAATTACAACGAATAATCTACTAATTTATGTCTTTCTTATTACCTGTGATTTCATGACAATATTTTGAAAAAGCTGTTTAATAGACTGAAGATAGGTGTTAAGGGACTTGTCCTGTGTCTGGTCAACTAGTTGCTGTGCTTTATCACAAACTGATTCAACAAGCTGCTGATGAGACATGATTTCTTGATGCATAATTTTATGGTTCTGAAAGTACAGTACAATATCATCAGTTTACTATCCACAACCACGTCTAATGCTGGCTCCTTAGTTTACACACGTGGAATGACATGAGCAATTACCTGGAGCTGTGCGCGTTTCTCTTGCAGGGAAGACTTGAGCTCAGTATGCTGAGTCATAGCATTCTCCACATCTCTGAGCCATTTGGTCAGTTGCTCTTGAGACAATGTAAACTCAGCAAACTGCATCAAACATTGCTCAAGTTTATGTGTTGCAGCTTGCAGGTCATCAGAAAAATTATCCCATACAGTGCGAAGGGTCCTGCAATAAGACTGTAAGTTTTACACACAGTAGACACCTCTAATAACACTCAGCTGATATGCTGCACTGTTCAAACATTATAAGAAATATCCTTATCAAATGTAATATAATGCAGATGTCTGATAATGTTAATATTTTTCACTCATTCAGCCATGTGATGAGCATTTTAAAATACATCTCAGTGATATCTTGTACAACACATGGTTATGAAACTGCCTATTTACAGTCTAAGTACTGAATCAGATATTAAAGCCTGGAATACCTGAGTTGTTGCCTAATGATTTCTCTTCCATCTGGAGATGTATGAGTGTAAAGCTTCTCTCCAGCGTCTATCAATGCATCAAATCTAGAACTTTCTCTTGACCTCACATCCGATAATTCCCGAATTTTCTTCTGTCGCTCCTAAAAAAAGTTTCATAAGAGTACAGTGATCACCTACATCTCCAGGGCTCTGTTCATTCAGCACAGATGCCAGAAAGTGTTAATATCTATCACTCCCACTTAAACCCCATTCTTCATATCTGTCATCCTCAAGAGCGCACTAAATTATTTGTAATACAAAAATCACTCTGTGTGTTCATATTTCTATTTATATAGATGATCAGTCTTAATGATAAAAATTACATCCACATACATAGGTCAGATAAAAAGTAGTGGCAACACCTCTATAGTTCTGAAATTACTTTATTACCCGAGGTAAACACACTTACATTCCTTCAATATAACCCCCCCCCCCATGTGTACCACCTTATGCCAAATTTGTGGAAGGCGTCGTACACCACTTCTCTTGATGTTCAGCAGTGACCACCCTACAGCACTAATAATCTCCTCTCTTGTGTTGTATCATGTCCCTCACCGTGGTGTTTTCATTTTGGCAAAGAGATCATAATCACACGGACTCATATCGGGTGAGTACGGCGGATGTTGCAGTTTCTCCCATCACCAGCGGCAAAGGAGATCCTTGACAGCGTCAGCAGTATAAGCCCTTGCACTGTCATGAAGGATGATAGGGTTCGTTGCCAACAAGTGTCGTCACTTTCTCCTGAGTGCTGGACGAAGATGATTACACAGGAAATTGCAGTAGTAGGCAGCGTTTACTGTCTGTTGTTGAGGTACAGTGTGGTGCAGTATCACTCCATCTATGTCATATGCCAAAATGAACATCGCCTTCACATTACTCTGTGTAGGGCGCACTTTCTTTGGACAAGGAGAGCCAGGATGCTAACACTCATTTGATTGTCGCTTCAAGTGCGGTTCGTATGAGTGAGCCCAAGTTTCATCCAGAGTGACGATCCTCCCAAGGAAGTCCTCACCTTCCCTCTGGTACCAGTCCAACAAGTCCTGTGCAATTGCATAACATTGCCATTGTTGCACCTAGGACATTATATGGGGTACCCAACACACTGCAATTTTGCAGTATCCAAGAATATCGTGCAGAATGTGGAGCATGGTTTTGTAACATATCCCTACCTCAGCAGCTAACTCTCGCACAGCCCATCGATGATCAGCATCCAGCAAAGAAGCAAGAAGCTGAATTGTGTGGTTGTCAACGTGGGGTCATCCTAAACGATGGCTTTCCTGAATGGCATCCCTCCCTTCATGTAACAATTTCACCCATCGTGCCACTGTGCGATATGGCAAAGCAGCATCACCACATGCTTCTCGCAGTCCCTGATAACAGTTTTGTGCACTACGACCTCATGCAACTTCAATTTTTATCCAGGAGCATTGTTGTTCTTTCGTAAACATGTTGTTAAGGCGCTTGAACTGGACTCCTGCACTTGAAGACAATGCATAATGTAACTCAATGAAACACAACCAGAGCCACTTATTGCATGACTTCAACTGAACTTCTGCTATCAGCTATAGATGGCACTTGTGACACCTGATGCGCATCTTTCATGTTACAGCAGTGTTGCCACTACTTTTTATCCAACCCTTGTACATCACAAACAGTTGCACAAGACAAAGAGGTGTTTTTTACAAAGTGTAAAATTCTCAAATGATTGTTGAATTGATTGTTGTTTGTTCTTTGAATATTTTCCAAATTATGGGTCGTATCAACACTGTCCTCTTAGCCATGGAATGTTCTGTGACAGTATTACATATGGCATCTTCTTCAACTAGCTTCCTCAACTACAGATGTACCTGTAAGACAGCCAAGTCCCCAACTATCTGGCTGAGTTCCTTGAGTTCTTCTTCAACCTGAGACAGCCATCCCAAGAATGCACTGTGATCATCATTGAAACTCGTGTGCTCTTTGACATATTGTTCGTATCTTGATATTGCCTCCTAAAGAGAAAATGATCGAAATTAATTTTCAGCTGCAGAAGATACAGGCACTGAGTTTTTAAGTCTATCATTTCAATATAAATAACAGAACCTGACAATCCATTAGGACTATTTTTACAGTTAATACAAATATTAGAAACTGCTAACACCCAGAAGATCACATCCTTCATAATGAACTGTTATTTATAATTCTATCTAGATTTAATGCCCAAAGGCAATCATTTCATACTAGTAGTAATATGGAAAAACACAAATATACAAAAATTAATTGATTACTGACAGACATATATTACTGTTACATGTTAATTAATAGTTTTCAAATTTTAAGGTTCTTGCTATGAAATGACTGATTGTATATACTGAATTTTTATTATACTGTATATTTTAATTTTTAAGTCCTGATTAAATGTATTATATTTGGACTGTTGAATTGGGTATTTAGGTCTTTTGTATTAATTTATGATTGTGACAATGATAAGCATATATCTGCATAAATTTGATCATGTTTGAGTGTTTTATGTACGAATTTTGTACTGTGGCTGTATTGCATGTTGATGGGTCCATTGTTATGCATGTGTTTATTGTGTATTTTGACATGTTCTGTATCCTGTGGCGTGTGTGACCTGAAAGGATCTGTGGAATTTAAGATGAAGTGAAGTGAAGTGAACACTAGTCATTTTTAAAACTACTATTGTAGGATACCTATACTTCTTTAGTTATGATTTTACTGTTATAGACAATGTTAATATGTATTTCATTATGATAATAAGTAGCAGTGCAAGTGTTACATGCATGTTCTATTTAATTATTTAATTGCAGGTGGGCTCTTTTTATTCTTTAGGTGAGTATTATGAATGGAAAACAAGGGATAATTGTGCTAATTACAGATAAATAAAACTACACTAGTCATTTTTAAACTTTTATTGTAAGATGCCCATAACTCTTTGGATATGACTTTGCTCTGTTATTGACAATGTTGATATGTATTTTGTTATGATAATAAGTTGCAGTCCGAGTGTTATATGCATGCTGTGTTTAGTTATAGCATTGTATCATCAGTTATTGCAACAATGGTTGTGGATATGTTGTAATATCTTAATGACGTTGTCCTCTGGATTAATTTTATTGTAACTAGGCCTTTGACGTGTTCTATATCTGGTGGCGCCATCGCCAAATGTAGATCTGTTGAACAAAATAAATTGAATTGAATTGAATTGAATTGAAGTCCTATTTCAGTGCAAAACTCATAAACCTTCACAATTTCAACTTCATGCTAAATAAATTCAAATTATATAATCAAATACTTGAGAAATGTATTATCCTAGAAATTCATAACATTTTTAAATCCAATTTTATATTAAATCTAAATTTCTATTATAAAATGTATACCAGTTTACTTATTTTCTGGTTTATCACTTTAAACTGTGTGTTTCTATGTCTGTTTACAAAGTCTCTTACCCTGGTAAGATTCTTGAGGGCCTGATAGCGTGTTATCAAATGAGACATCTTCACTGACAATTCTGACTCTCCTTCAATAGCTTGACTCTGTTCAGATGCTTTGCTGAACTCCTCACCCTTTGCAAAGATTTCTTCTTCAATAGACCTCAACTTGTCAAGATGGGCTTGCTTTGCATCCTGAGTGCTCCTGAGACTCTGATCTTTCACCTGTGATTCTTTCTGTTTTGTCCAAGTTATGAGATCATCAACAATTTCTTCAAATTCGGTCCAACGGCTACAAAGTTGACATAATTTGGTTTGTGCATCACTGCAACGTGCCAAAAATACTTCCCACGCTTTCTTCTGATCCTCAAATTCTTTCAGTAACCTTGGTTGGCCTGATATGTTTGTCTGTTCTAGTACAGTTTGAAGCTGTTTGTGACAAGTTTCAATAAGCTGATCTCCCTCTACTTTGTGATGGAGCAAATTTTCAATGATGGCAAGTTTTGCATCAGCACCTTCTTTTTCTAATGTCATTTCATCTGTAACAGCAGCAGCCTCTGCAGATAAAGTGCTGAGCCAGTCCCGGGACTTCTCAAGAGCTTGAAGATATGTTTCATGGTCAGAAACATGTCTCTCAGCCACTACAATCCTCTCCTCAACATTCTTGGATAAGTCTTCATAAGAGGCAAGTATGCTGTTAAATTTTGTAGTGGCCTCTGAGTCTGAGAGTGCTCCTAGTTTCTCTTGCAATTGTTTCATAATACTTTTGTGTGTGTTAACATCTTGAGCCAGAGTTCTGTAACCATGCATTGCAGTCTTCTTATCTTGTAATGTTGCTTTCAGATCCATTTTGCTACCGATTTTAGCTTCAGCCTCTGACAACCACTTGCTTACTTGACCATAACTGTCTTCAAAGGATGATCTTTGCATCATAAATCCTTCAACACGTTTGTGTAAAGCATTTGCTTTGTCAATTAAAGACTCAGATGCATCTCTCAATTTTCTCAACTCACCACGTACTGTCTCACGATTGTCTGGTGTTATACCAGAGAGAAGTGTTTCACCTGTTTCTACAGCTTTATTCAACAAAGTCTGACCCCTTTCTCTCTCCCCTGCAAATGTTTTCAGCTCTTCTAGCTTCACTTGATACACATGCATAGGCTTAGCACCTCCAGATAGCAGGTCGTCAAATGACTGAAGTTTACCATTAGCTTCAGCTAACCAGTTTTCAACATCTATCACTGAAGCTTTGTACATGTCTTTGGTCTTGTTAAGTGATGTAAGACGCTCCATGTACATTGCTGCAAACTTGACAACTCCATGATACCTGGAGACTAGATGACCAACATAATGACCAACACGAGATTCAGGATTTTCTTTCATTATCTCTTCTCCTAAAATGGAAATATCTTTAATTTCTGGTTCAAAGTCTTTCACCTGTTTTTGGAAAGATTCCATCTCCTTAATCTTGTCATCAATTGTAGACAAATTCAGTTGGATCACACTCTCTGTACGAACTTTGCCTTCAGTTTCTTTCAACCAGGATGCAACATTTTCAGACATGAGTTCATACTTCTGCCACAAACTGATATTGTGTTCCAACAGCTGTTTTGTGTTTAAATAGCTGTTTTTAAGACTCTCTAATTCAGTTACCAATTTGTCTCTTTCCAACTGCAATTCTTTTATCTTTTCAGGAGTCTCTACATTCTGGAGTAGGTCCAATGACACATCAAGGTCTGTTTTCTTAGTCTCACAGTCCATCAGACCAACTTCTACATCTTGAAGGGATGAAACCTTTACTTCTAAATTGTACCTGTCACTTCCTGCTTCAGGTAAACACCAAGCCACTTTTTCTTTGTGTGCTGCCACGCCTCTTTGTAAAGCACCAAACTTTTCCATGTGATATTTATTTAAAAATGCCAGCAGTGTTGACTCTGTTTTATTAGCATGGGATGAAACGCCATCATATCTTATCTGGAGGCTGCTAAGCTCCTTTGAAAGTCCTGAATCGCCAAATGCTGGAAAACTTGATTTCATTTCTTCAATTTTCTTCTTCAGTAGTTCCAGATTGGAACTAAAATTCTGTAGCTCATTTTTCAATGCCTGACAGTTTTTCAACCGTTCTAGGATTTTGGAATTTTCACCTGTCAGATCATCACATGCAATAACTGCTTCTCTGATTTTCGTGATGGTATCACTAGCGTTCTTCATATCGTCTCGAACACTCCTCTCCTGTTCTCCAACAGCGCATGTAATGTCCTCCAGCTTATCAGCTATGCTCTTCACATGAGCAAATTCATCTTCCAGTAATTTGTTCAGAGATTCTAGAGTTGGGATCTGTTTTCCATCATTTAATTTCACAAGCTGAGCTGTTTTAGATATCAGGCTGGTCTTCAAGTTATAAAATGCTGGTAGTTCATCTTTGTATCTATTCAACTTAGACTGTCCACTTTCAACATCTGATAAGTCCTGAGAAGCATTCAACAGTGCATCACTTGTTTCTCCAAGCCATTGCACAAGTTCATTCTTTGATTCATCAATCTGCTTCCAAACAATTAGCTGAGCCTCTAACACCTGCACTTTTTTTGTCAAGGTATCATAAGCATTTTGCCATGCATTATGAGCTTCTGTGAGCTCTTCTCCTATCACAGCACTGTTGAATCCAGAAATAGGTTCTGCCTGCTTCAGAAGTATCTGTGCTTTGTTGTCCATTACATCAAGTGATAATTTAGCTTTCTTCAGAAGTTCCAGAGCCTTCTTAGTCTTGTCATGACTAAGAGCTGCTTCAGTCAGATCACTGGGAACCTCTTGTACTAACTCGTACAACTTCTCAGCATCAGTAATCCCAGAATACACTTTCTCCTTTGCATCACAAAAATGTTTCCATGCAGTACTCATTTCCAAGGATTTAACCTTCTGTTCCTTTAGCATTTCACTCACCTTCTCCCAGTTAGCATCAAGAGAAGCCAAAATGGTTTGTACTTCAGACATGTTACTCTGATCCTCCTCCATTAGTAACTTTCCTAACCTGTGTAATTCATCCTTGGCACCCTGCTTTAGTTTATGCTCCTCCAGCAGTCCGGCTATGATCTTACCAGCTTGTTCTAACTTACCACACGTGTCCACTTCCATGACAGTTTCATGTAATGTACCCTGCATTGAAAGTAGTCCCTCAGATAAATTCTCCTGAACGCGTTGAAACTGTGCCCAACGTGCACCAACCTCTTCAAGAACTTCTCTTTTATTTGAGAGTTGTGCTTGCAGCACATTCACTTTAGTCTCTAGTTCATGCAACAAAGCAACAGCAGTAACACGTTTTCCAGTTGCTGTGTCTCTGATGTAAGTACCACTCTGCTGACTAACACCATCTATAATAGAAGCTACATCTGTCCATGATGCAGTCTTCAGATTTATCACTTCCAGCTCTTCTGCGACACGTTCCACATCTTCAGGCTGTAGCTTCTGACTCTCAAGTTGATATTTTATATGGTTCAACTGGCCACTAGTATCTGCATACCAACTCAAAAGATCAGACCACTTTTCAAGGGCACGCTTTTTTTCTTGCAGAGTATCTTCAAGATCCTATAAAATAATACAATATTAAAATTACAATTCATATCACTTACGGCACTCTCAAAATCTTAAGTGAAATATTATTTTACAACTTAGACTTGTTGTTATTATGACGAAGATGTAATTTGAGATTTCTTAGTTCATAGAGATATTAACCTTTTATTTAACCATCAACATCAAACATTATTCCATGCACAAATCCAAACAGGATAAAAACACAACAACAAAAATACCTGTTAATTAATGCTTAACATTCCACATATGAGCATATTGGATTATAATATGATGTATGTATCACTGTTTGGCTCTGATGTTTGTTTATTCTACACCAACTGTTGCAGGGGGCACGCAGTAGCATAGCTGGTTGAGGCACTATGCTACAAGCTGGAAGGTCATGGGTTCAAGTCCCGATGAGGTCAGTGGATTTTTTTCAATTGACCTAATCCTTCCAGCTGCACTATGGCCCTGGGGTTGACTCAGCCTCTAACAGAAATGAGTACCAGCACGTAGGGCTGACAACCTTGCCGCCATCTATAAGCCAATTGTCTAGAAAACGTAGGAACCTCAACATCTCACAACCCTATGGGCCTCCACGGCCTGTTATAGGGATACCTTTACTTTACTTTTACTTTCACGCCAACTGTTGCAAATGGCACACAGCATCAAATTCAGCCTGGTGACTCTGTACTTACAGCAACTGTGGTCACATTATCTCACAACTTATTCTTTGTTACAATCTCTATGTTAACTATGTACAACAAACATGAGATTCTATTAGAAATAATTATGGTAGGTGATGTACAGCACTCATTTTGAAGGACTTTTTCCAACCTTGAAGGACTGTCTTATATGCCAGAATATAAGGTATTTTTTTTAATATTCCTGGATAAAAAAAAAGATGAAAGTTGCATATAAGAAAAGGGAAAAACAATGAAGAGGCAAAAAAGGACACTAAATCAGATGTCAAAGCTTGGGGGACCAAGATGGATCCACATTACACTACATTTCTAGCAATAATGAGGATATTTTATATTGAATGTATCAGAATTGAAAATGCCAAATGACAACAGCTGATTTGAGCAGCTGGCAATAAGGGCATTAAAGGGGGAAATGACTTCAAAAGAAAGAATGGAAATACAGTTCATATTAGTGTTAACTGGGTCCTAAGGTGCAGGGATAGTGCAGTCAGTAGAGCAACTGGCTAAGGGCTGGGTGACCAAAGGGTCAGAGTTCAAGTCCCTGTAGGGTCAAGAATTTACTCTTCCCCATGTCATCCAGACCAGCTCTGGGGTCCACCCAACCCCCTATCAAATGAGTACCAGAGGTTCTTTCCCCGTGGGTAAAGCGGCCAGGGTGTGAAGCTGACCAGTCACCTCCAGCTAGTGCCAAGGTCAAGATAATGCAGGTCTGTACATCCACTCCCCCATATGCCTTCATGGCATAATGCTTAATTAGTTAAGCACAGGGACAACTTTTATGGGTCCTAAGGCTTCAGAGTCCATTGGTAGAGAAACTCCTATTACTGGCATATACAGACACCTCGAAGTGAATCACTCACTCGAAACACATGTCAATGGACAAATACTGGGAATAAGTGCTGACAAGAGCATTGAGGTGTGGATACTAAGAACTGTTTATAAACTACTGGTCTTCATGGGAGATAAGAAGGAACTAATAAAACTTTCTTATTTTACACAGCAGCACATTGAGAACGTCTCTACCAGCTCACTTTCTCAAGAAAAAAGCTCTGGAACAAGAGTAGGGACTTCGTCCCACCCCACCAGCAATAAAAAAATTAAAAAATATATACAAACAACTCTATCTGAACAAGAGTAGGGACTTCGTCCCACCCCACCAGCAATAAAAAAATTAAAAAATATATACAAACAACTCTATCTGAACAAGAGTAGGGACTTCGTCCCACCCCACCAGCAATAAAAAAATTAAAAAATATATACAAACAACTCTATCTGAACAAGAGTAGGGACTTCGTCCCACCCCACCAGCAATAAAAAAATTAAAAAATATATACAAACAACTCTATCTGAACAAGAGTAGGGACTTCGTCCCACCCCACCAGCAATAAAAAAATTAAAAAATATATACAAACAACTCTATCTGAACAAGAGTAGGGACTTCGTCCCACCCCACCAGCAATAAAAAAATTAAAAAATATATACAAACAACTCTATCTGAACAAGAGTAGGGACTTCGTCCCACCCCACCAGCAATAAAAAAATTAAAAAATATATACAAACAACTCTATCTGAACAAGAGTAGGGACTTCGTCCCACCCCACCAGCAATAAAAAAATTAAAAAATATATACAAACAACTCTATCTGAACAAGAGTAGGGACTTCGTCCCACCCCACCAGCAATAAAAAAATTAAAAAATATATACAAACAACTCTATCTGAACAAGAGTAGGGACTTCGTCCCACCCCACCAGCAATAAAAAAATTAAAAAATATATACAAACAACTCTATCTGAACAAGAGTAGGGACTTCGTCCCACCCCACCAGCAATAAAAAAATTAAAAAATATATACAAACAACTCTATCTGAACAAGAGTAGGGACTTCGTCCCACCCCACCAGCAATAAAAAAATTAAAAAATATATACAAACAACTCTATCTGAACAAGAGTAGGGACTTCGTCCCACCCCACCAGCAATAAAAAAATTAAAAAATATATACAAACAACTCTATCTGGAAAATATATACACTCATGACATCATAAAACACACTAACTAGTGATTGCAAATTAAGTTTGTCATCTTTGCTCAATTTTGTACTTTGTAAGTGAAGGCCAGTTAAATCTGAAGGTACAAGTGATAAGCACATGGCAGAGAAGTAAAAGAAGCAACTAATGATCATAAAAAGTATTCACATATGGCAATGACACCGATAGCTAGGATCACAATGTTTGTAGTCAAGCACAGAGTTTTGCTGTTTGCAAACAGTGGGACATAACCACCATGTATTAGTGAGTCTCAAGTCTCTGAACTAGTAAAGTGAATTAAACACATCACTGGTATATGTCGAGACGAAGTTTTCAGAATTTCTCTGAGTTGTCAAAGGTAGTATGTGTGCAGTATGGCACAGCATGTTCCTTCATAGCAGCACTGCCATGATGGCATAGCACAACGAACACTTTCCAGACATTTGCACTACTAAGTAATGTTAAAAGTAAAAGCAATGTGGTTAAGAACAGACCGGCAATACAGAACTCTGATGATGGAAGAATGGGGGGGATGTAGTAGTGGAGGCTGGTCAATTTCCATGTTCTGTTAACATACATACTGTAATATGACCGAATAGCTTAACAAGTGATGTCATAGGCTGCTAGGCAATGGCACAGTAAACACACTCTGATGTTATCAAACAAGTAAGCCACTGCTAGGGAAGAAATAACCACACAACAGTAGAAGAACTGTTGCTGACATATTTTCTGTGTTGCCCAACTCAAGGCTATATACAACAAGCAGAAGAATCTCCATTGTGGGGACTATAACCAAGCAATAATTAGTGCAGACTGTAGATTAGCATTAGTGTCATAATTATTTGTAATTGCGAGTTACAAGCCTTCAATAAATCCAGTTAACCACACACCTAGCCACTAAAACTTGAAAGTATGTATATAATACCTTTGTACAGAAATGTGATCAATTATATACAATATCTTAGTTTCAACCATATCAGTCATTTTCAGGTTACATGAAATTCCTGTTATTATATTAGATATCGGTCAATACCCACATTAGATTATTTCTAAATTTACATACAAAATTATAAATTTAGAATGACTATGATAAAATTATTACTGAGTTGCTGTATAATTTAAATTACTATTCAATGAACCAGTCTTAATATCATTATTAAATTTTGATGTCAAAGAACAGTTGTAAGGCCTTTCTGCTCATGTACCTCTCCACGCAACACTTTATGGTTATTGTGTTGCTGTTCTATGTTGTTTTATTTGACTCTCTTCACTTCTTCTAAGCTCCTATCCAAATGAAGCATCAAGGTTATGCTGTTTGTTTTTATTAATCTCACTGTTTTGGAGATGCTGATTGATGAGGTCAGTATGAGGTTGAGGGAGTTACAGAGGCTAACTTAACCCCACACCAACACCACCAGTTACATAGTAACTTAGAATAAGAGCCGGTGTACAGAATCAAACAAAACACCACACAATAGCAACAATAACCAAAGAGTGAACATACATCAAAAAAACCAGCAGACAATTCTCAGAACTGCTCACTAACATCAAAATTGTATAAACTAGTCTTCATTTTATTAAGATTAGTGCAGTGCACAATAATTTCAATTGCATAACAAACCATATAACAATTTTCTCATAGTAATTTTAACTCTTTAAGTTTGTACATAAGTATGTCTAACAAAGCCAGTGCAGATAATGACCACTATAAACATAATAATAATANGGAATGTATTATAGAATGAAGACGGTTAATATATTCAAAACATTTTGATAAAATAAAATACTTTATATAACTGAACACAAATGTGTACCCAGGTTGTGCAGACAATATGTAAGTATACTAGTTGAAAGCAGAACATGATGCTCAAAGCACACCACTTCAAGCACTGTGCAGCAGCACATGTATTTGGCACAAGTTATACCTCCCTTTTGTAATTATCATTAAAAATTATGGGTACAAATACAGAAGAACATGAACGAGACAGGATGCATGGGTCTAAGGAAAGAAGAACATCCTGGAACTTAGTCTGAGATATGAAGAGAAGCATGTTCTAGCAAAGAATTTGTATTGAGAAAAGTTACAAACTTAAGAAATCACTAGATGCTTGATAATAACATAATAAAATATATATGTCTTGATAAATACAGTTTTGCATATACCTGGTACTTCGTCACAAGTTCTGAGTATGATTCATTGACTGATGATGCTTCTTCTGGACTACTGCAATTCAATTTCCTGACTTCATCATAGATGGCATTGAATGCAGGCTGCTTCTCAGAATGTTCCTGTAGCAATGCATGAACAGATTGAAGTGCTGAGTCAACCTGAGCCAAGGTTACCTCATCTACTTGGCCGACACCAGTGTGCAGCTGATCCATCCAGTTCTCAAAGTCTTCCATTTTCCCTTGAAATTCTTGTCTGAAAGAAAACATTTTAATGCTGGTAACTTTCTTGCCAGAATGCAGAGCAAAAACAAAACATGGACAGCCATCAATGCATATGTGTGTGTGTGTGTGTGTGTGTGCGTGCGTGCGTGCGTGCGTGCGTGCGTGCGTGCGTGCGTGCGTGCGCGTGTGCGTGTGCGTGTGTGCGTGTGTGTGTGAATAGGTTCAGTCAAGTCAATATCAAAGACTGTATATGCCTGGATAAAAATCACACCAGATTACCTTTTATTAAATGCAGCTGGCCTGGACAATTTCAGTGAATTGCATCCAGAATCTTCAACAAAACTTCACAGTACAATGCAGAATTTGCACTTTCACCATGCTACTGAAAATGGGCTAACAGTACTCCCTAAGAATCCCAAAACACTGCAAGCATAATGTTCCCAGCTAATGGTGTACTCGTAAAAGTACGTAAAGCTATCCCTGTAACAGGCCGTGAAGGCCCATAGGGTTGTGAGACATTGAGGGTCCCACATTATCTAGACAATCGGCTTAAAGATGGCGGTAAGGTTCTCAGCCTTACGCGCCAGCCGCACTTTACTCCCGAGGAAAATTATTTAATTAATTCCTGGTACTCATTTCTGTTAGAGGCTGAGTTGACCCCAGGGCTGGAAGGATTAGGTCAACTGAAAAAATCCAATGACCTCATCAGGACTTGAACGCACAACCTTCTGGCTTGTAGCATAGTGCTTCAACCAACTACTGTGTGTCCCTGGTGTACTCATAACCATAACATTTTTTTGGTCAAAGATGAACTGGGGTGGGTCCACGGTACTGAAGCACGCTTTGATTCAGGTTGGTAGTGATGCACCCATGATTCATTCCCAGTAACAATCCTGTTAAGCAGATCTTTTCCATTATCTGCATACTGTAAGAGATGTTGCATGGACACACCCATTCAGTTCATTTTTTCTTGATCCTTCAGTTCTCTGGGCAACCATCACAAGCACACTTTCCAGAACTTCAAACGATCATGCATTAGGCTACATGCTAAACCACAGGGCAACTGCTACACTGCCTATCATTATCCTCCTGTCAGCTTGAATCAACTCTTCCACCTGCTGCACAGTTGCTCCTATCACAATCTCAAGAGGGCAACCTGGTAGGGCATCATCTGCAACTTCTGAACATCAATGAGAGAATTTCTCAACCCAGTTGTGAACTGCGTTATGCAAACAAACACTTCCCACCATAAACAGGAAACATTTCTTTATGAATATCCTTCACACGGAGTGCTTTCATCTACAAAAAAAAACATAACAGAACTTTGCTCTTCAGTAGTACAACCTCAAGCAGTCACCATTATGACTACTGAAATCAGCCTCCAAACATGCACATGAGGGTCTGCTACCTAGACTGTCATGAAGCTGGATTGTACTGCTACCTAGTGATACAGAAAACCTATTATGTCCATTATATCTGTTTTACCTCCATCTGTGGCCTATTTACTGACTTTTCCTCTTAATTTGTCCCTCATTCCCTGATATGTATCGGTATGCCATTCATTTGATATAAATGCATAGTGAACAAATTACTGACCTTGCCAATATGGTATCTGATACAGCATTAAGTCTTTGCCTCACATCCTCAGCCAGCTTTGTGATTTTGGCTTTCATTTCATTAACTTGTCCCTTCACTGCTGTCCCACTTTCCATTGCCAGACCCTGAGAAATGTTGTCTGAAACTTGTGTTAATGTTATTAGTTGCATCTGTTTCTCAGATATCTCTTTGTTGAGAGTCTGAAAAAAATAATTCACACAAATTTAAAGAACGGCCCAACAATGTTTTTTTCTGAGTTATGAATTTAATGTGACACTTTATATAATGCACAGCATGGTTACTGAGATATACGAATAGCTGAAGAGTATGGTATCAAGACAGCAAAACATTAAATTCTAGCCGATATATTCACCTTCAGTTTTACCAGTTCCTTCTCCAACTTATCCTTATCTGGGGTGCTCAGATTAACAGGTGTCTCAAAAATTGCCTTCTGCCCTTCTTGTATCCATGTATCTATCTTCTTGGCCTCATTTTCAAATTCCTCCCATGTTCCAACAAGTTTCTCAAGCCTGGTGCCCCACTGCACTGCCACATCATGGACACCAGCCCATCGCGAATGGACAGCATCCACCTCATCTGGAGCATTTGTGCGACAAGTGATCTGTTGACTCAGCGCAGCAAGACCCTGAAGCTTAGCCAAGTACTCTTCACACTGCTTCTCAAACGTCTGTAAATTCAAAATACATACCTCACTGAAAAATATTTTAATACCCACAGGTGGGTAATAATTGAGGGCCATACCTCTAATATGGTTTCTGTACTTCATTATTCAGAATTTTTCATTACTTCCAGATTTATTTAATGCTGCTCTGTCAACATCAAATGGCAGAATGATTGAGAATGAAGTATTATGAAGCAGTTATGTCCTACTTTAAGGAACCTTAGCATTTCCCTGAAGACAAAGGGAAACCTTATTACTTCAGCCAAGGTAGCCAGTCTCTATGGAAATACTTGAATCTGGACCTCCTAAATATGTAGTAGGCACTGCCACATTCAGCTGCAAAAAAAATTTCATAACTTCATGCATTCTTGTTCTCAGCACTACAGGAAGGTGAGTGGTGAGCTTCAGGCCTCAGTGACTTTCACTTAGGGAAAGAGGCCCCAAATAGGCATCAGATAAATGCCAGAACAAGTCTGGATCCTGTGTCTAAGAGAAAAATCTTTTGCCCCCTTCAGGAATCAAATCCTGATTCTTCAGTCATCCACAGTCCATTTCCTACACCAACTACGAGGGGCGTACAAGTTCTAAGGTCTCCGATTTTTTTTTCAGGACTGGGAGCAGATAGACACATGCGGTTTAGTTTAAAATACGTGTGTACTCTTTGTGAATCTGTGACAGATATGGCAGCACTGTACGGCACACAGAACTCTAGTGGTGGCGGCGAGTGTGAGGAGTGTTTTTGATACTTAAAATGGCGACGTTTTCGTTACAAGAACAGCGAGTAATCATTCGTTTTCTCCGCTTGCGTGGTGCGACACCCATTGAAATTCATCGCCAGTTGAGTGAGACATGTGGTGATGGTGTCATGAATGTGAAAAATGTGCGTTCGTGGGTGCGACAGTTCAAAGAAGGCCGAACGTCGTATGATAACGAACCAAAACAATCTCGGCCTCACACCAGCCGGTCTGACAACATGGTCGAGCTAGTTGAGAAAGTTGTTTTGGAGGATCGCTGATTGAGTGTGGAAAACATCGCCTCCAAAGATGGCATTTCCGTGGGATCTGTGCACACAATCCTGCATGAAGACCTGTGAATGCGGAAAGTGTCCTCCAGGTGGGTGCCACGAATGCTGGCGGACGACCACAAGGCTGCGCGCATGGCAATTTGCCAGGGGATGTTGACACGTGATGAAAACATGAATGGGACTTTCTTTTCATCAACTGTGACAATGGATGAGACATGGACGCCGTTTTTCAATCCTGAAACGAAGCGCCAGTGCTGAAAAAAATGATGGTAGCCATGTTTTGGGACAGCGATGGCGTAATCCTTACTCACTGCGTTCCAAAGGGCACTATGGTGACAGGTGCATCCTACCAAGATGTTTTGAAGAACAAGCTCCTTCCAGCACTGCGAGAAAAACGGCTGGAAAAGGCTGCACATGTGCTCTTTCACCAGGACAATGCACCAGCGCATCGGGCATACGCGACGCAGCAGTTTCTTCGTGAAGTCAACCTTGAATTGGTTCCTCATGCTCCCTACTCACCTGACCTGGCTCCTACCGATTTTTGGCTTTTCCCAACAATGAAAGACACTCTCCGTGGTCGCACATCCACCAGTCGTGCCGCTATTGCATCAGCGATTTTCCAGTGGTCAAAACAGACTTTTACAGAAACGTTTGCAGCGGCCATGGAATCATGGCGTTGACGTTGTGAAAAATGTGTATGGCTGCAGCGAGATTACGTTGAAAAGTGACAGAAGTTTCAAATTTTTTGTATGATTATTGTGTGAGAAAAAAAATCGGAGACCTTAGAACTTGAACGCACAACGTAAGATATTTAAATGCCACAGAACACTTGATTATAGTAAACATGAGTAAGTATTTGATATTAACTCGGGGAAGGCAACTTCCAGTCACACCAATGTACATGTATAAAATGGAGCAAACAGATATATCCAAGCATAGAGAAACACCTGAAAAACACATGAGAATGCAAAGAACACGAACATCAACAGATCATTTTGCTGTTAATATCATTCTAAATAAAAATTCCAATAGTAAGTCTTAGTAACCTGAATTTATTATTCCAATATACGTGTATATTAACAAAAAAATGTATAAAATAATTGGCCACTTTATAGTCTGGCCACATAATTCAACAAAAATTGAATACATGAAATACATAGGTTGGATGAAAAATAGTTCTGAAATGACTTTGTTACCTGAGGTAAACACACATACATTCCTTCAATATAATAGCCCCCCACATGTACCACCTTCTGCCAAATTTGTGGAAGGTGTCGTACACCATTAGTGCTTCCACTTCGGTTGATGTGCAAAAGTAACTGCCCGACAACACAAATAATCTCCTCTCGTGTTGTAACATGTCCCTCACAGTGGTGTTTTCATTTTGGCAAAGAGATCATAATCGCACAGACTCATATCCGGTGAGTATGGCGGATGTTGCAGTATCTCCCATCACCAGCGGCAAAGGAGAACCCTGACAGCGTCAGCAGTATGAGCCCTTACATTGTCATGAAGGATGATGGGGTTCGTTGCCAACAAGTGTCGTCGCTTTCTCCCAAGTGCTGGACAAAGATGATTACGCAGGAAATTTCAGCAGTAGGCAGCGTTTACTGTCTGCTGTTGAGGTACAGTGTGATGCAGTATCACTCCATCAATGTCATATGCCACAATAAAAACCACCTTCACATTACTCTGTGTAGGGCACACTTTCTTTGGACAAGGAGAGCCAGGATGCTTACACTCATTTGATTGTCGCTTCAAGTGCGGTTCATATGAGTGAGCCCAAGTTTCATCCAGAGTGACAATCCTCCCAAGGAAGTCATCACCTTCCCTCTGGTACCAGTCCAACAAGTCCTGTGTAACTGCATAATGTTGCCATTGTTGCACCTTCGATATTGTATGGGGTACCCAACGCACTGCAATTTTGCAGTATCCAAGAATATCGTGCAGAATGTGGAGCACGGTTTTGTGACACATGCCTACCTCAGCAGCTAACTCCCACACAGCCCATCGACAATCAACATCCAGCAAAGAAGCAAGAAGCTGAATTGTGTGGTTGTCAACATGGGGTCGTCCTGAATGACGGCTGTTCTGAATGGCATCCCTCCCTTCATGGAACAATTTCACCCATCGTGCCACTGTGCAATATGGCAAAGCAACATCACCACATGCTTCTTGCAGTCCCTGATAACAGTTCTGTGCACTACGACCTCGTGCAACTTAAATTTTTATCCAGGAGCGTTGTTGTTTCATAAACACGTTGTTAGGGCGCTTGAACTTGGCTCCTGCACTTCAAGATGATGCCGAATGCAACTCAATGAAACACAACTAGAGCCAATCACTGGACTTTTGATATCAGCTACAGACAGCGCTACTGCCACCTGACGCACATCTTTCATGTCACAGCAGTGTTGCCACCACTCTTTATCCTACCCTTGTATGTTTCAGCTTATTTAAGTCACATTAAGACATTAAATGAGTATATGTCCTTATGGAGATATAAAAGCTAAGTTTTGCTTGCATGGTTTTTTTCATATCTGACATCTTCAGATCAGTGAAAACGTGAATTGTACTCTTCTGGGTTCTGATACTGTACGGCCTTGTACATGATTACCAATGTTCAGAAAATAATATGAAGGCAGCACATTCCTCCAACATGCTGGTAACCACCTAGCAGAATACATAGTGTTATAAACCAAAGACCACAATGTAAGCTGTTATTAACAGTAATACATTCACATGGTAAAGGTAGAAATGAGCAAAAACCGATTTTAAAATGGTATACAGCTATTTTTGTACACATGAAAGAAATCCACTGTGGCTGAAAATATTTTGATGAAATTTAAGACTGATGGCATTCACTCAGTTCACTGATATTTAATTTTCTTCTATAGAGGCCAGTTTGTACCATCGGTTTTTATATAATCGTAAATTTGGACTGAAAAATATTCACTATATACCATATTAACACAGTTTGGTGGTCATGCCATTGTTCAGGTTGTCAGTCACTAACTTCTCATCATGGCAGACCAAGTCTGACCCCAGGTCAAGCAATGTGGGATTTGTGGAGGAAAAAGTGACAAGTCAAAGTCACACTGTGACGGACGGACGGACGGACGGACGGACGGTCGGTCGGTCGGTCGGTCGGTCGGTCGGTCTTGGTGTCCAGTCCCATCTGGGGCTCATGACCAGATATTAATTATTACTATTTGACAGCTACAGTCTTCTTTCTGTGGGGCGCCCTCTCTGACAAGAGGATGGGTCTGTCTTTTGTATATGCTGCTGGCCTTGCCAGGGCAGTCTTTCTGGGGTCCGAGTACCTTTGGACTTGCTACCATATTTTACTGTCTCAAGTTTGAGACTTCTCTTTTCATTGCCTCTTACGACTCACAGTCACAGTGGAGGTATTGGACCCCACCTCCACACGGGGTGAAAGAAGTAACATTGGGGCAGGATTTCTTTTAAAGTACGTGTATCTCAGCTTCCCCTATCAATTCTCATTCAGCCAAACACTACCCGCTCATCTCTCATCTGGGGATCATACAACAGGCCCATTAATGGACTCAGTTTCATGCCACCCCAAAATTAAAAAAAATTCTGATAACATTTGTCACCCAATCTTCTTAACAAACTGCAAATTGGGGGGGGGCATACTTCACAATATGAGCTATGACTTTAACAGAAACTCAAAATTTGGACTTGACCAAATGTTCATACTACAACAAAATAATCTGATAACATTTTATAAGGAGTATTCTTAACATAACTAAAGCTCTGAACATTACTTCTGTCATTTCAGGTAACCGCTTTACTTTGAAGTAAAATTACCTTTTAAGTCTAATTTATATCAATATCCAATTTACCAAAAACTGTTTACATAAAATTCTGTGCTACTTGAGTCACTTCAGTATCATAAAGCACTTTTATGGAATCAAATTCATGTCTAAAAATTGATTCCTGAAATGTGCATGTTTGGATCAAACTATGAAACTGTATTTAAACCAAAATTCAAGTTTTCTGACTCTGAAAGCTTAGATGTTAGTGCATCCCTACAATTGTTAAAATTTATGAAGTTACTGATTTTAGAGTTAGAAGATTAAAAAAGTGTGAACCATCATATAGATATACACACCCTGGTTGAGCTCAACAGATGCTGTGCTTCTTGCAATGACATAGGTTTAGGAATGCCGATGTTCACTCTGACTTCAGCCTCCTCTATCCATGGTTTGACTTCCTGCAGTCCCGTTTTGTAGTCCTGCCAGTGAGCAAGATCCTGGCCCACTGATGATATCTGCATTAGCACACCCTGATGGAGGCCAAGGACAGAGTCTCTTAGAGCCATCACCTCTGCCTTGAGCTGCGCAGCTTCCACATTCTCTCCATCTTCTGTCGATGAAGAACATATTTTTTCTTGTTTACAAATTCTGGTGTCCTCATAATTCACTTCATGTGTCTACCAGTGTGTCTGTGTCCCTCAAATAGTAATTGTTTAATCAAATGACAGATATTCATAAAACTTAGTATAAAAACCATGCCACCAGAGATCATCACACTGCTGTATCATTTAGTTTTCTGCCATCAGTAACACCAGAACAGCAGCCACGTGAATTTCCAAGGTGGGAGCAACCCTAGCGCCACTGAATGTCATGCAATGTGTGGTAACAGATTTTTTTTTATAAATAAATATCTTTTTTTTTTTTTAAGGAAATTTTTATAGAAGGTGAAACAGCAACATTGTGGCTATCCAGCATCTATAGTTAGCATTTTGTTTGGTAGAGATGTTACTACAGAGATGCATTTTAACTATCCAATTGCTCTTTTTCATTGTTTTCATATACTTATGATGTATGTTGATGTTCATACAATGTGCATTTTCACCCATAAAAAATGAGTCTCAGTAACAGAATCAAAGGACAGATTTTTTTAAACCAAGCTTGGTAAGAGTTATGTCAGCACACTCAGGCACAGAGCCTGGCTAAGATAAGAACTTTTCATTCAGTCAAATGTCACGAACAATCTTCCTTTCATTTTCCCTAAGCCAAATGCAATAAAATTCTCATTTAAAGCAGCCCAATTCTCATAATGACTGCTTAGTCCTGCAATCTGGTGCTTTATAAGTTTACTCAATTCGGTTGTTCTTACTTGTCATAACATGGACAACTTCTGCCAGAAACAAAATGCATATACAGACACATTTTCAATTAAGGTGAGTTTACTTGTTCCTCAAGTTCCCACTGATTCTTCCTACCTTCCAACAGTTCCTTGGCCTCTCCACTGAGCACATCAAGAACATTAATTTTATCCTCCAGCTGTGCCTGAAGAGCCTGTGACTTTTTCACCCTCTCCTCAGGTGTCAATTCTGTTGCCTGCAGCTGTTCTAGTAGCACAGGTGCACTCTGGTGAGTCCAATGTCGAAGTTCATCAAGCTGGGCTTGGAATCGAATCCAGCGAGCACTGAACTGTTCCAGGTATATCACACGCTCTTCAACTGTTTCTAATGTTACATGCAGACGGCGTTCAATTTCAGTCACCTGAAAATAAAAAGCAAGTAAAATAAGTTATATGAATGAAGGACTGTAACTGAACACAAGTTATTAAATCATATCAGAAATACTTCATATTCAATAACTGGTCTTAAATAGTTATAAATTAGCCTGACTGACTCATATGTGTCCATATGCATGTGCACACATGTACACACCCTCTATGCCTCTCATGATAATACTTTCATATTTAAACACTGTGCTGTAAGGCTATGCAAAATTCACAGTCATCCACATTCTGACTGGTTATCCGGTGTTTGCCCAAACCACTGTGAATAGCTTCAATATGAAGCCTTTTTCAGAGTCAGTACCTGTTTTTGAACAGTGATTCCCACTGCCCTGTATATACTTCAGAGCCACATATCAGAACTTGAGAATTTCCCACTGACCCATGCTATTTGCTGTCTGCTAGCAGTCACTATGCTCCAAAAAAAACTGTGATGTTGCCCAAATTTCAGAAAACCACCCCATCTCAACACTGTTTCATCACTCAACAAATTAATGTCTGATAAATCTCAACAAATTACTTAAGATTAAAATGTTTAATATCTATCTTTTAAACTTATCTTACCAAGGAAAATTCTATACTTTTCTCATCCTTCAGAGGATTATCATAACTACAATCATATATCATGATGGATGTATCTAGATACTACTTCAAAAACTTACTTCTTTCTGAAGCAGAGGTTTCCTCTCAGGAGCAGTCATTGTTGAGAGTGTGGAACAGAGATCCCTGAGTTTGCGGAGCATTTCCTCAGTGGCTTTTCTGAGGGCAACGCTCATATCTTGCTTGGCTTGTAGGTCTGCTGCAACTTTTTGGCTGTCATGAGCACCAGGTGCAACCCTCTTTAATTCCCCTTCAGCTTGCTCCAGCAGCTTCAGAATTTCATCCTTCTGTTCTTTGTAGTTGGTCCATACTTTTTGTGTACCTGCATTAAAAATCGGCATTAATTAAGCAAAATAAGGATGTAACTACAAAAATAATCTGTGTTGGTTTAATGGAAGGGTGGGTGATTTATGACCAGCTGAGTAACCACTCTATGTATAAAAAATACCTGAAGAAACATTAAAAAATATACAACAGTAAATTGCAGAGAACACTGCATTTTACTCCTATGGCTGACAACTAGCTCACCTTTCAGTTTCTTGAGTTTCTCTACAGTCTGTCCATAAGCTTCATTCCAACCAGTTTCTAGGTTGGAAACCTCACTTTTAATGAAGCTCGGAGCATGGGTATCCTTGACTAGGTCCTTGCCACGCTGCAACAAGCTCATGATGTTGCTTCTCTGGTGATCCAGTTGTGTGACAGCAGTCTCCTGTTGTTTGATCATCACATTTACTGAATCCAGAGTCTCTGGCTGTGGACCTGACATGGAAGTTTCTTTAACCTTCTGCAAGAGCCCAACCACCTAAAACAACAACATAATCACAAAATTTTACACAAAGAATATCTATTTCATGTTCATAGCATCAATTCAAGACATTAAACTGGCCTAAATATGTGTACAGGCAATGTGTATGTATAGTCTCCGTTTTAGACATATATAAAGGAGTAGAATGAGGCCAAGTAGTAAAATGAAAACTTTAACATTATGGAAAAACAGATTATTCTCATGGAATATTACAAATATTTATGTATCAAATGAATGAAGTAAACATGCTGCTTTACATTAGCATGGACCATTTCTTCTAAGTCTCAGTATTTAAGAGTAAAAATGAAGTATAAGTAACAATGATAAGTAGCATTAATTGTACAACTAGCTTCAATAAGAAGTTATATTAACTAAACATAAAAATTTTAAACTAAGACAGTTATATCATCATTTCTTCACAGATTCCATTTACTTGAAGATTTGTACATATTAACTGCCACTCATAGTCTCCTTATGAGCACATAACTACCTTATAAAGATACAGCTACATCACATCAATTATTTTGATTTATACATAAAAATTCTATGTTGAAAATACTGAAAACATGTTTGTTATCAGTAACCTTAATAATAAGCAGTCAAGTCCTTTCCATATTTGTTGAAATCATATGACAATTATGTATATTGACTGTAAATTCTCAAAATTAATTTTGTATAACCTTTTAATATATTTGAAAAAAGAAAGACCTCCAGATTGAATACATAGCCAGCTGAGGCCACTCTGATTTAAGTTACAAAAAATATGCCATAATCTAAGATCATGAACACTTGTGGAAGACATCCTTTGAAGCTTGTTGCATACCTCCCTCACTTCCTTTCTATAAGTATAGCACTTATAATGCACATCAGTTTTCACCATGGTCAGTTCAATGGTTGGGATGAGAACTTTATATCGAGCAATGAGTTGTTCTAACTTCTTCTGCTCAGCTAATGACTCCTTATCCGAACAGTGTGACACGAGTGAGTCCAGAGTTTGTACCAACCACTTCATGTCTTCCCGTTTTGCATCAACTTCACAGCAGATGCTCTGTAACACAGTCATACAAGTTTGACAAATTTGCTTTTGCATACATGTATATACTAATGATTATTTATAATATTCAATATTTTGTCCACTTATTCTTATATTTCATTGCTTGTGATTTTATTCTATTTGCATATGGTAGAAGAACAGAGCATCGCAAGACTTTTACTCCTCAGCAAGTTTGGAACTCGCTGTATTTTGGACATGGCACAAGGTGGATAAAAAAATCTGTACTCCAACAAAATTATCATTATATTTGTCTTGGAATGCTTAAGTCTGATGAATATTTGTAAGCTAAGTGAAGTAGAGATCCACATACTAAAACACTTTAAAAACAAATCCACTTTGAAGTCCTCCACTAACAAGCAGTCCCTTGTTCAGAAAAGATCAGCTTAACAGATCCACTGGAAGAGTGCTGTTCTCATTCAGTGTAATAAATTTATATGTGTGGCTTCTGCATACTAACTACATTAAAACTCTAAAATCAATCCATATATCTGGTTCCTTCATCTGTGTTTTTGTGTAAATTTAATACCGAAAGTAGAATTTTAAATTTTAAATATTATGTCAGCCCATATGTAAGTCATGCCAAAGCCCAATCCCTGCCTCCTTGCAGCAGAAAGAGGTTACAAGGGGGGGTAAAACTGAGTCGAGGATTCCCTACTGGGGTGATACATAGTACCACCACAGAAGCTCAGAAGGATCAACACAAACCCTGAAAATGACTGCTAATGGGGCTTTGGTGAAACTGTGACAGGCCTAGAAAGCTGCCAATAATGGATATCAACAATGCTTTCTCATAACAACAAAATGCATCAGAAAGAAGAATGGATTTACATGACAATGACATTGACTAATGCAAGGACTACAAACTGGAACACCAAATGTTATCTCTTTAAGTAAAATGAGACATGTGGAAGAAATAATTTTTGTTATGAAATAAAAACAACTGGATATAATTGGACTTAATGAAACAACAGAACATCTTATAGAAAAAAAATTACAGTAACATACAAAGATTGTACAAACTATATTAAAACAAAATTAGAACGTTCTAGATGATTTAAAACAAGTTAAATAAATTTAGAACAGAAAAGTAACAGAGATCAACAGAATACAAAATACTTCAAAACTTCACTGAATTATAAAAGGAATATCAGAATATCATGGAACACACAGATCCAGAAACAACAAAAAACAACAATCTGCAGAGTATATTTTAAACATATGTTAGAAACAGAAGCAGAATCCAAGCAATGTATATTAAATTTGCCAAATACTGAAAGGGGGGGGGAGGTTGGGTTAGAACTAAAACTAAGATCAACAACAATAAACTGAAATCCAAAATGTCTTAATAAAGTAAAACCACAAATGATCACAACAGTTTTGCAATTTAAAAGAATAGAGAGAACTACAATACCAAAAGGCATTATAATTAAAACTTAAAAAAAAAAGAGAGACCTCTGGGATAATCTTGAACAAAGTGCTTTAGCCAAATACTTTAAGAAATAAAGATGAGAGGAAACAGCTGGCAAAATACTGACAAAAGAAAGATTGTGGAATCAAAGAAGATGCTGGAGACTTTTCATCCTTTAACCCACATAAACAGAATGTAGATATTAGGATGAGGGTAAGGGTCGACATTAAGTTGCAGCTGTGTATATCTGTGCAAAATATGAGCAATATTTGCTTGTGTTCTATGAAGCATTCCCATTACTATGCATAAAATAAAATATACATATGAATGTCAAGAACCATATTGGGAAATAAAGACAATATCTATTTGCGTGGTAAGGAGCATTTCCCATTACTATAAAATAAAATCAAATACACACTAGTGGCCTGATTCTAGGAACGGAATGAAATACATGTGGAAATAAGAACCTAGGACAAAAAAACAGTGTTTCTCGTTTTCTGTGACTTGTTAAGCAAAATCTTTTAAAAAAGAAAACCCCCAAATTAAATAAGGCATTAGGTTACCAGTGATTCTTGAACCTGTTATTTCCAAGTACACATGAGAACAAACGGAATAACTATAAACTGTAAGTTGAAAGAGAACTGAATAAGGAAATGTGAATATCAATACAAATATTAGGAACACAGTAAATGAAAATTAAATACAGTTCATCTTCTCATCCTTCAATCTGAAGTCAACGTTCCATTTAGAAAGAACCTAATAACATAAAATTTCTTAAGCAACAACTCAATGTCACCTAATAAACTATCGTGTATTCTATCAGTAAATACTGAGAATCCATAAAAATTCCACAGATGATGGAATCACTACAAAATGTTCTCTATAAATACAGTAAATTTCCTTTACTCTTGTTTCTTTCATATTGTGATATGTTGCGCAACTGAGAACCCCTCCCCCCCAGCAGTGATGTGGCGGGTGAGTCAGCACTATGTCACCGCCCTCCGTGTGGTGACGTAGCCACCCCGCACTGTGACGTGGCACAGCTTCCGGCTGTGACGCGGCACCGCAATGCAACGCCGCTGTTGACACGGGCAACAGGCAACAGTGAACGGAATAAAAGCCAGCTGAGCAGCAAGCGAGAGTTAGTGTGTGATCAACAGTTCTCAAGGCAGCAGCCTATGAGTTGAGTTGGAATCTAGCCAGCGGCGAGTTACGAGTTAGTGTGTGATAATCAGTGACAGTTTGTGATAACTGAGAATTAATTGGGAGTGTGTGATACAGGGACACTTACATAGCTCCCGTACTGAATACGTGTAGACTACTGAAGACAAAGTGAATTGATTTGCGAATAGGGTTATAAATCGTGAAACCCAGCAACAGTGTAAACAGATTATTGCGATTAGGGTTATTAAGTGTGAAACCCCGCAACTATGTTATAATTAATTGTAGCCGAGACTTGTAGGTTGTTAAATAAACCAATTAACAATCCGAACAGCATCTTCAGTGACGAAACATGTTACAATATGTTAACTACAGTGAGGTCTGTACACAGCACAGCTGTGAACCAAACTTATGTCTTACGTGCTGCCCCACTTGATGCAATGAGTGCCTGACTCAACTGCCAGGGTCCAAGCTGATAAAAAACTGTAATGATAATTTTTTTTCTTTCAAGCCAATTACTTCCTTCATACAAAGATGCTGAAGAATAGCAAAATAATCCTTATACTTGATTCTGTAATTTAACTTCCTTCCTATAACTGCAAGGATTTCACTTTAAAAATACAACTGATTAGAAACCTAGTGTCTAATCATACTGTATAAACATTTGCATAAAAGATTTGAAAGACTTATACTCTGCAAAGTAGTTACAGTCTTTGTTTGTGCCTAAATTCACCAATGAAATTTCTACATGTAAAATATTGTAAAATAAGCGTCAGATCATGAAGCAATGCCTATATTTTTCTTTCACTATGCATTACTACTTGTGAATCATATTTATGTGCTGCAAACAAGCAACTTGTGGCTCCAACGCCAAGGAAATTCCAAAGCACCAGACATCACACATACAAAATTTGGAAGGCATTTAAACATACCTGGAATACAGCCCTCTCCTTATCAAATTCTTCAAGAGTGTTAACTTCTTTCACTATATTCTGCAGATTAATATCCACCTTATCCATCCAGTGTACCATTTCCAGAAATCTGGAAAGGAAAAGAAAATTCTCTAAGGCAAACTATTCAGGACCAATATACGTAGATTACATATACTGAATTAAGGAAAATTCACAACCACCAGATATTTTAATATGAATAAAACTGGACATGAAGAATTCATACAGAATAACTGTAGCATACTGTGATGTACAGACCCATTCCAATGGATAACTCTGTAAACAGTAGCCGTTCCTAGGTAGCACCCACAACATACAAGAATGCAACAACAGAACGGTGTTATGCAACCTGTTTCTAAGCAACAGATCTGTAAATACACCTCTACAACAACAGAGTTACTGTTGGAAACGGTTTTCTATTCGGTCCGTGCAAACTGATTATAAAGAAGATAACTGGGGCAACCAGTTCAGTTGAGCTCTGCAAAGGAGGCCAAGAAGAGATGGTGATGCAGTTCAGTTGAGAAGAGTTCTGTACGGGAGATTGTAACAGACTTGAGAACACTAGTCCATGTGTGTCAGTGATCTGTAAAGTGTAACTACAAGTCATGTGGTAACATGGTCAATAAATCCAACATCAAATCCAAAACCCCATCTACAGTCACCCTTATAGTAACAATAAGTTTCATCAGATCCTTAACTGAAAAGAGCTAAATATTTCAGTAAGAAGTTGAGTTGAAATGATGTACTTTGCATATTAAACCCAAAATTTAAACATATGTCACTGGCTATAATGTCTTGAATTTTATAATAAAATTAATTCATAATCACTGTAAGTTACTGATCACTAAATATAGTTCCTATGGAGATCACCAGGCATCAAGATGTAGTAGTCAGCACCCCTTCATACATGGGAGGTCCCAACTTCAAATTCTGGCCTGCCAACCAACTATCCTAACTAAAAATTGTCATGACTTTCCTCAGTCCCTCCAGGCAACTGCCAGGACAATGTTTCAAATCAAGGCTATCATTCATTCCTTCCACATAATTTAAAATTTGTTATTCACTGATCATCCTACCATTTGACGCTACACAGTCTGAGCCACAGACACCATCATTAAATAAACCACAAAAAACAGAACCTATGGAGATTACATATATATAAAAACACACACAAATTTTATTCAAACCACATTAAGTGGGTTCCTTGTCACCATCACAAAGTTCACACTCAACCTCCTTACAGAACTGGAACAAAAGCAGTCAACACTAAAAATACAATCCATGATTACAACAAAATTAATTTCTTGCAGCATAACATTCAACCAAATTACACTTCACTAACTTGGTACTTCACTCACATAGTTTATTTATGGATTCCATCTATCACTCAGATGAAAGTGGTTATTTTCCTATATGATGTTCACATCATTAAACAACTGGTGTAAGTAACAGAAACTGTTTTTTGGGGCCAAAAATTTTATAAACATTATTTAGGGAAACATCTGTCTTTCAAGAGCGAAAACTGCTGGACTTTTAATTACCCCAAACTGTGTTTACAGGAAGCGTACAGAAATTTTAAAATCAGTATTTGTCTCTTTTCATTAGTCTATTAAGGCTGATAATATAAAAAAAATTAAAGAAAACTTTATGACACTGACTTGCTTTAGTGAGTCAGTCTAATGCATTCAGGTTTAAATTATATTGATGAAGTGAGAAATACATAGTTTACAATATTATATTTAAGCATCCTGTTGCACTCTACACGATAAATGATACAAACTCCGTCCTAAGTGCAAACAATATATATTTATATGTCTTTGATCTTGTTCTTTCTACACTACATGTTTCGGCCTCTATCGGCCATCATCAGGTGTATACTCTTAACGTTGCTGCCACACTGAACCCAGTCTAAAACTTAACATTTAAAAACACAATGTCACATTCTTCGTATTATCAACATCTACATCGTTGATATGTGTCTGGTATGTAGATTATGTTGCACACGTCAAACCCGATATTCTTGTAGTAGCACTCTAAAAATCTTTAGTTGTGATGTTTTTAAAACCTTTTAAAATTTTTCTCTAAATTTTAAATTTAAAATTTAAAATTCTTAGGGTCACTCGCCCTATGTCTAAGTGCTGGAGCGGCTAGTTCTTGTTTTCACACTGTACAGGTGTTATTTAATGTAGTCTTCTTGTGTGAGTGCCGCTGCTTGTCTGTACTACTATTATTACATAATTCACTTCAGTTTAGAAATTTGAGGGATATCCGGAAAGTAAAGATAAAAGTCCAGTAAAAAATGCAAGGGAATTCCCCCCCCCCAGAAATGGCAGTGCTGCCATGTGAGATAGGAACCATATGATGGGGCTGAGTTCACCGGCCACAGTCACGGCAACGTTGTACTAGCAGTTTGTGTTTAAAATGGCGATGTCGATTCAAAATCCTGCCAAATGTGAGGTTCATGCAGTAATTCTATTTATTCATGCGAAAGGGAAAACTGCTGCTGAAATTCATCAACAACTTGTTCCTGTTTGCTGCAAAGATGTTATGAACAGGCAAAACGTGGAAATATGGTCTCATGAATTTGAAGCGGGAAAATGTGATGTTCATGATAAAATAAGGTGTGGAAGGCCATCTGTTGTCACTGATGAAATCATCCAAAAAGATTGAAAGCATTCATGCTGACAGATGTTAACCATCAATGACTTTCATCAACAATGTCCAGAAGTGCCAAGAACTGTTCTCCATGTCTAAGAGGGCAGGCGGGAGATTTCTATGACAATGGAATAAACAAAGCTCATTCCCAGGCTCACCAAGTGCATTGTGACCCACGGTGACTATGTTGAAAACTACATAAAGGTGTTGTAAAAGTGTTACAAGTGAATCCCTCCAAAAAAAAAAATGCTTTACAAACATTTTCTGGACTTTGTACCTTTACTTTCTGTACATTCTTCATATGTATTGGAAGTATGTAGTCATATGCAATTTACTTACTTTTGTTGGTAGTTCTTCCACAGTGTTGGAATCTGCTGAAGTTGCTGTGAGATGGTTTCAATTTTCCGAGATGCCCCTTCCCATTGTGCCACAGCCCTACCGTGAGCTTCTCGCAGTGATGAGTCATGTGGATCCCACTGATTGAAGTTATTACTGATTTTACTCATGTTCTCAAGGCATCGTTCAATTTCCACAACTACTTTGCACTCTACAAAAAACTCCTAATAATAGAAACAAAAAGGGCAATCATTATTATTAATCATATGCAAGCTTCCAAAATGTGTATATTCCTTCCAGCTGCACTACAGCCCTAGTGTCGACACAGCATCTAACAGAAATGGGTACCAGGAATCTTCCTGGGGGTAAAGGGCGGCCAGCACATAAATCTGACAACCTCACCTCCATCTGTAAGCCAATGGTCTAGAAAATATAGGAGCCTTGACATCTCACAATCCTATTAGTGGGACAGATTTACCTTTTTATCCTGAGACTGTAAGATATGGATACTAAAGGACAGTAAGGTAATCCTTTGTTTAATACAGGTTTAGTTAACACAGTTTTATATTATATATGATATATATTTAGATACTGATTCTGAGCAACACAGAACTGAGTTTCAGTTACCAATTGGTCAGTATGTGCATGTCTAATGCAAAGACCTGCAGACAGATGGGATCACAGTGTACCCACACCTTCCACCCAGCCTCACAGTAAGTCTTCTTCTTTCTTATGAAGTACAATATTGTTTTGCTCTAAAGGATGACCTCTAAAGCTTAAATGCACACATCTGTATCTTCTCCTGCCTCATTGTGTGTTCATACAACTTGTGGCAGAAGACATGCAGCACCACAAAAACATGAATGTGTGATGGGGCTGCATATCCTACATTAGAAGAAAAAACACAAGCACAGCAGTCTCCACAAAAAATTTTAAAAGCGCATGATGATGACGAATGACGATCAAAATGTGTGGTGAGCAATGTGGTTTCAAGTAAGTTTAAAAACACATTATGCATATGTAGTAATTTTTAAACAAAAATTTTTAAAAGGTGTCACATGTAAGATGGAACATCAGAGATATTTGTTAATTGCAACATAAGCTTACATCCTATATCAGAGCATGGATGTCAAATTTATAAACACATAAACTTCTCCTTCACTGAGATTGCAGTTTCTATGGCAGTGAAGTTTCAGACTGTGATATTCTTGGTTATGACAAAATGAATTTATGAGATGGTTACAAACATATCACAAGAATCTGCTGCCTCCAAAAACAGTGAGATTGTATCATGCAGGCAGGAAGTGAAAAAAGGATAAATCATTAAAGTGAAGCTGTTGATACCTTGCTTACCAACATCTCTCACCATGGCTGTCTTTACTAGCATTACTGATAACTCAAAACTTAATATNAGATAAGTAACCTGGTTTGAGGCTATGTTGTATTTTAGCTTCCTGTTGCACTGATTCATATTCATAATGTATATGTATTAACAGTCTTCAAGTGCATACAATCACATTCACCACTTCTACACTACATGTTTCGGCAGTATGTTGCCATCTTCGGGTGTATCGGTCCGTCAACCATTTCACTGCTTGCCTTTATATGTCCATTTAAAAATAATATTAAATTTGTATACATCCTTATATAATAATAAAGTTTATATATTTAAAACTTGTTAAAACCTATTATGTCATATGTCATATTTTAAATTCGTGTGTATTATTGATCATCCACATGGGGGCTGTTGTTCTTATGTTTCTAATGTCGTGTGTATATCTGCAATGTGAAAAATGTTACATATTATTGTTATGTTTTGATTTCTATTGGTTTCATGTTGAAATAGAAACCAATAGAAATCAAAACATAACATTAACATGTAACATTTTTCACATTGCAGATATACACACAACATTAGAAACATAAGAAGAACGACCCCCATGTGGATGATCAATAATACACACAAATTTAAAATATGACATATGACATAATAGGTTTTAACAAGTTTTAAATATATAAACTTTATTATTATATAAGGATGTATACAAATTTAATATTATTTTTAAATGGACACATAAAGGCAAGCAGTGAAATGGTTGACGGACCGATACACCCGAAGATGGCAACATACTGCCGAAACATGTAGTGTAGAAGTGGTGAATGTGATTGTATGCACTTGAAGACTGTTAATACATACACATTATGAATATGAATCAGTGCAACAGGAAGCTAAAATACAACATAGCCTCAAACCAGGTTACTTATCTAAGATTTGGAATTCTGGCAGTATTGACTATGAAGAATAGTGGCTCTCACTCTTACTGCCTTACTTTTACTCGTCTACCCTGAACATAGTGAAATACATTCCATCGAAACATCAGTAAATTTCTCCCAAATTATATGGAACATCCCAGAAAACAGTATTCTTCATAGGAAATTTATGCCTAAAAAGGATTACAGATCTATATCTAGTGAATATTTCTCACCCTGTTTCTAGTCAAAATGGCTTCAACATCTTCATGCTTATTAAATGCCTGCTGTTCTGAATGAATTTCTTTCTCAATTTCTTTCAGGTATTGGTTGAATGCAGCTTCATCGAGTCGGAATTCAAGCCTCATCAGATGAAGAGGAGCAAAGGACAAAACTTCCTGCAAACAGAACATTTCAATATCATTCATTTTCATAAGAATACAGGAATACGAGCAATTTTAACCATTCTACATGAACTTACAAGATACGTTATGCTGATCAGTTACACATTTTGAACTCTACAGAGCTTACATTGTCTACATATCATGTGTATTTTAATGATTTTACTGCTCTCTAAATGGGATCTGAAAAGAATATCAACTTACTATGATGGTGAAGATTATGATTTGGAATGACTAGTGGAATGAATGGCACAAAAAAATGGGGAACCCCAAACATACTGGCATTAACTGACATAATAATTTCCATATGGAAAGTGTGGGTCCTAATCAAAGGTTCACTTGAATGGATACCCAAACACTTGTGGGTTAAAAAATATCTGGGCATTTGTATGGTTTTATAGTAATTATTATAATCAATATCAGAATTTTAAAATACTAAAATGTCCATTATCAGCTGTCATGGTAATTGTTGTCATAATTGTTGCTGTCACTATCTCCGTTGTCATCATCATCATCATCATCATCATCATCACTGCAATTTCCAACAAACCTTAGTTGGCCTGTTATAAACATAAAAGAACAGAAACTATACGTTCCCAGAAAGTTTTAGTTAGCCTGTTATAAATACAAAAGAACATAAGTTCTTCCTGTGTATCTTATTCCACTGGATTAACAGTCCAAACTGTTTTTCAGGGTACTGTCACTGTTCATTCCGTCAATATGATCTTCCCAGTTCCTTCAACAGCGTACCTGTATTCGTGATATTTATATTTTTGTCATCATTTTAATTCTTTTACAGTCAATAAAAATGTCTCATGAAACAATATTGTCACGTGCATGACTACATATGTGTTTTGGACAAATGATTGGATTTATTGGACTCTTTGATACAGTGCATGACTACACTTCATGATTCACTATCTCAAGCATGCACACACGCACACAGGTGCATGTACATACACGTCCACAGTCACATCTTCAATAGCCACTGCTCAGTATTAGCTTATTAAATTATTATTAAATAGTCCCAGGAGACAAATGATCTATCACATGTCATAGCCTTTTTACTTCACATTACTACTTTCTCCATTAAAACAACTACAATTTCTTGCAGCATGTCCTTTAGTGATATACTCCACAAATGATCTATCACGTGTCATAGCCTTTTTACTTCACATTACCACTTCCTCCATTAAAACCACTATAATTTCTTGCAGCATGTCCTTTAGTAATATACTCCACCTTCCATTTAGCTTGAAGTCTCCCAACAGCAGCATCCACTGGAGGATGCTGTTCATATGGAAGACAATTTCTTAAATCCTGAGCTGAGTTTACCAAGTCTTGAATCCATTTCTCATTGACTTTCTCAAAGAAGTTCTGAAAAGAAAGGTAACAGTTTGAACAACCTAAAGTAAACAATCTGTTTTATATTCTTCAAAAACAGAATACATTCAAGACATAAATTTCATTGCTAAGAATCAAATATCTTGTTAATAAAATGTTGGTCTCTTCATCATGTACTTTTCTTGTCCAACGCGCCAGAGACAAGAGCATGCAATATTTTATAAGGTATTTTAATGAGATGTTTCAAATACAGTCCCACATTTGCTTAAAACCTTATAAAATATGACTAAAAAATGTACCCAACATGGAGACTGAGGAACTATAATATTCACTGTATCAAAAGCTACATGTGCCAACTTAACAAGATGCATGCTCTGGATATTAAGCCAATGCATCTACTTACCTTATGAGATTCTACAGTCTGCTTTGTGTCTATGTGCCTCTCAGCAATAAGCTTCTCTGCTTTCTGCAGCCACTCAGTGATGATTCGTTCATTCTCCCGGAAGTTGTGCCAGCAGCGAATACCCTCTTGAAGTTTCTGCAAAATAGTAAACTATGTGTTATAGAATGTGAATTACTGACATAGAAGTACATCATATGTATACAGAAAATTCATTGTAAGATTTGAGGCTTTCACGGTGGTGACTATGAAGAAAGCAGTCTTCTGGGATTTGGCACCGTGTATATGTGGTGTTAACCAACGTTTCAGAGGAACGTATCGCCTCCATCTTCAGGGTAGAAGAAAAAATATAAGAAATCTGCAAGCAAAGAGACCGTGAGAAGATGGAGGCGATACGTTCCTCCGAAACGTCGGTTAACACCACATATACAGGATGCCAAATCCCAGAAGACTGCTTTCTTCAGAAAATTCATTGTTTAAATCTACAATATTGTTTATTAATTCAGAAAATGCAGACAAATCATCCAAAATAAATTAATGGAAAACAAAACAATTAATAATACAGGGAAACTAATGTAAATTAAATGTTTCATAATATTGGGTTGATAAACATCAAATCGCCGGTCACGGTAGCCAGGATCGTGGGTTCAAATCCTACACAAGGCATGGATGTTTGTGTGCATTTTTCTGTGTTTGTGTACAGGTAGAGGCCTTGCAATGAGCTGATCACCCGCCCAAGGAGTTCTACCGTATGTCTAAGATCTAGTAAACCGAAGTGAAACGGGGAGTTTCATGGAGGTAGGCTTAGGCCCAAATGAGGGCTGTAGTGCTAATGAAAACAAAAATACATCAAATTAATCAATCAAAGCAATTAGTTTTCATTTACATTCTTGTATTACACAGAATGTTTGTTATATACTTGTTACTTTGTGTCAAGAATGGTATCATTTATTTTTATGTTGAGATTAAACCTCTCCATATGAACCTCTGCGTTGTTTGTTTACTCACTGTCAGTCTCTCCCTAATCTTTGCCACCACCAGGTAGTGGTCAGTATCACAATCTGCTGCCCTTAACAATCAGACATCAAGTATGCTTGAATGCTGTCTTCTATCTATCAAAATATGGTCAATTTGGTTGTGCTTCTTTCCATCAAGGGATGTCCAAATAAATTTATAAATGTTACAATGTGGGAACATCATACTTTTCACAGTAAGATTTTTTGTTGTGACAAAGTTTACTGCTCTTAACTCCATAATCATTAATTTCGTGCAAACTCTCATTCCCAATTTTTGGTTTGAAAATGTCTTCCCTACCTACTTTGGCATTATGATCTTCTAACAAAATCTTCATATGATATTTAGGGAATTTATCAAACACACATTCTAGTTTTTCACAGAATTTGTCCTTCAGATCATCAATTTTATCCTCTGTTGAGGCATAAACACTCAGAACAATGACATCACACCAGAGACCTCTTAGTATTATGTGACATCCTATCACTAATAAACTCTACCTTCTTAACTGCTGATACGATTCTCTTAATATACAAAAAAGTCTGTACCTAATTCATGATTCTCATTCCCCATTCCATAGAAAAATGTATATTCGCCTGCTGGTTTGGTACCACCTCTGTCCCATCTAACCTCCTATATTCCCACAAAATCTAACTTATGTTTTAATATTTCTTATGCAACTGCCATGAGCAAACATGCCTTATACAGACTTCTTACATTCCATGCACAAAATCCCATGTCCATTTTCCTTAGCTCTGGTCGTTTAACCATAGAATCTGTCCAAGACTGAGACCCTTTGTGACTTTTGTAACCAGCTTATTTTTTACAGCAAGGAGTTGATAGCCCAAAACTTGACCGTCAAGCTGGAGGACCAACCCTTGTCAGCTGTCTGTAACTTCTTATTCAATATATTCACAGCTATCTTCCATATCTGAAGGCCCTGTCTCCCATCTGTAACCTTATGACACACCAAACAGCAGTGACAAAGTACTCACCTAAAATATTCTTCAACTAGGAGGGCCATCAAATGAAGAAAGCTATGATATTCTGGGTATCAGGAATAGAACAGAATAGAAAGGGATAGGTGCACCTTTGTTACTGCTGGAATGGGACCAATAATGTTTTAATATACATATATATGTTACATTCCATAGATCCAAAGTAAGTCAGAATGATTGTAGGATGCGGAACAAGTCATACAAATAAAAACGCCATAAATACAGTACAACTGAGACACAACAACAAAAAATACATCCACATATATAAGTCAATAATGTCAATTTATGCTATGTACATAACCTTTTAAAAGGACAAGTCATTTTTAGACAGTAGGACTTCATCAACAGAGTAGAATGAGTGTGTATTTAAGTATCATTTCAGTGCTAATTTAAATTGCGCCTTTTCATTCATTAAGACTTTTAAGACTAGATGGTAGATTGTTGAAATTTTTAATGCCAGAATAATATGTGCTTTTCTGAAAACATGTCAGGTTAGCAACCGGTCTATGGAGATGGTGCTTGATTCTTGTGTTAACACTGTGTACATCCGAATTGGTCTGAAAACGTTCTTAGTTATTTATAATGAAGCTTAATAATGAAAATATATGTATATTCACATGAAAGAGGTAAGATCTGTAATCTCTTAAATAGCTCTCTACAAGAATTTTAAGGTTTTATGCCCATCATGATTATAAAATTTTTTTTTTGTAATGTAAATACCTTTTTGCTGTCAGATGAGTTACCCCAAAATACTATTCCATACTTCATTATAGAGTGAAAGTAGGCAAAATAAACTGATTTCAGTGTATCAGTGTTGCTGACATGTAACAAAGCTCTTACTGCATAACATGCCCCACTTAGCATCCCCATTGCTTTCCCACCACCAACCCTGTACCTTCAATGAACTTCATTAGTTTGCCTTATGAGATTATGATAGTCGCTAGGAATAAACTAATAAGCTCCAAAATGACAACACCTAAATCCCACAGGGAACTTACAATAGCACCTTACATGCAAGTCTCTTTCATTATCGTTCTGACTCCTATAGCAAAATCATCAACTAATCCAAATTTTCACTGATATCGTTTTAAGTAACAACCCAGGACAGATTTCAACTGGCTCCTGCTGAGGCATAACAGTACCCCAGTTCTATTCAGTGATCATCCATGGATAAGCTGGGCATGTAACACATATGATGGAAACAAAAAAAATCAAACTTGAAAAACCAGTGAATACATGGGAAGATCTGAAGATGAAAGGCATACACTGTGGTCTGTTGGTTTTTTTCACAGTGTAGCTTGGTGGACAGTTACGAACGTTTTGGAGAAACATGCTACCTACAGCTTCAGTGTATCCTAAAGAGAGGGCAGCATGTTTTCCCTGGATACAAGTACTGCCAAACAGACTACATGCAGTCTTAACCGAAAAGACCACAGCCTAAATCTTCACCATTGTGAAGTCCTCAAATACCATACATGAAATGACACTTTTTCTCATAACTGAACCAGTATAACAGATCATGACTTACCAGTTCCCACTGTTGAGCCAACTGTGTAACTCGGATAAATCTCTCATTGAGCTGTGCCATCCTTAATTTTAAATCACCAGTGTCAATTCCTTCATTATGGTCCACTGATTTCACAATGCTCCGGAATACTTTGTTTTTACTTTCCAACATTGACTTATAATATAATGTTCTAGAGAAGAATGTCTGTAATCAAATAATGCCACATTATCTCCTCAATCTCTTTGCCTTCAAGTGAACTGTTATACAGCATGGATTCTGCACCATTAGAAATTTTTTCATCCTTTGTTATTTGTCATTAGGTTCTGTGGTTATACAGTATAGAAAAGAATTTCATATATTATTAGACTTGTAAAGTATTCAAGACCATAAGTGACAAATTGTAAATAATTGCTCCAAAACAAGAAAAACATTGTAACTTCAGAAATGCAGTGACACCAGTTAATAATTCCGAGCATTCAGGATGTACATCAACAAGCAAAGTGATGAAAATGTGGTGCAAATAACTGAACAAGTTCATGGTAACATAGATGCCCACTAGTCTCGACTTAGCTGTGACGTGAAAATCTCATTTAGATTATCTCAAAGCATTATTATCACAAAAGACCTCTACATGCACTGGGCTGCATGTAGATGGTCTAATGACTGATGAACAAAAGCAGAATTGTGTCTGTGCATGAATTTCTGGCTAAGAATAGATGGCTGCCATCCCACACATCCCATATTCTCCAAACCTAGCATCTTGTGTTTTTCTCTTTTTCTGAAATCGAAGCTGGTACTGAAAGTGAAGAGATTTGGTAATATCATGATTCAAGAGCAATTGCAAGTTGCACTTGGTAACTTCAAAAATGGAATAATCGCTAAACACACTGCATTAAGTCACAACAGCAACTTTGAACAGGATAGCATGGTTAAAAAGTAAATACAGTTATCGCAGGGGAAGCAGGATGGATCACAGAATTATTTTAGCACACTATGTGCAAAACTTGCTGCTGGATTTGAGATTCTCTCAGCAGTGACTATGGAGAGTTCTATCCTCTGAGACATAACACCATGTATTCCAGTGAAACTCGATGTTTCAAGAAACATATCACCTCCAGCTTCATGACCGAACACTAATAGACAAACAAGAAACCTCCATGAAACACAGCAAGCACAGCTTATAAGAAACAAGCACAAAACTTACTTCCTGCCTGATTCCTTCATGCTGCTATCTTGCTTGGCTTATCCTCTGACCCTGAAGAAGGAGGCAATATGTTCCTCCAAAATATCGGTTGGTTTTCATTGAACTGCATGGCAATACAACCCACATGACAACTTTCCTTCTTCATTTCTCTCCTACTGATCTAGTTCTTGGAGATTTCGATATCATTGTACATGGTGCACAGAACTGGAACTTTGCTCAGGGACAGAACTACCTAATCCTGACACTAATGTGTGCGAATGTTACGATGAGTCATCAAAAAGGTGGAATGTGACATTTTATTTAAGGTCTAAAGAATTATAAAATTAACCCCTTAGAGCCAATGGCAGTGAACATCATGAACTGGCAAGGACATATTCCAGATACTGGCTTCAGGGGTTCAATTACATTGGGACTATAAAACAGTGTAAAATAAAGAGCGTTTTTTTTTTAAATAAACATTCGAGACTATATACAGAACATTGTTTTACCTTATGCTTGTCTAGCTGGGCTTGCACAGGTTCCTTGCCTGCTGCTAATGAATGTGAAGCGATGAGAGCCTCAGCTTCATCTAGCCATTGCCCTATTTCATTCTGTCCAGCTTCAAGTGATTCTTGCTGGACCAGGATTTGGTGGAACAGATGTAACTGCATGGGAATCAGTGCCCGTACTCGTACCAGTGCCTCTGAAATGTTGAACATTGCTTCCTTATATTTGTCAGGTATTAACAGTAATTTATGGAATTTGATGAGTGTTCTAGTTAACACTGTGCCTAGGAATTCACTGGTTCACCCTATGAAGCACAAATATCTTCTAAATAACATTTAACAATGTTATATTTTAGCGTCCTATTGCACTGATTCACGTTCATGATGTGTATTTGTACCGACCATCTTACAGTGCACACAATTTCACTTTTCTCCTCACTACATGTCTCGGCACAAATGTACCATCTTCAGGTGTGGTGTACAGCAGTACAACGCACACAGTCACAAGGGAAGGACACAATACAGCACACAATATATAGAAGAATATAGGAAGAGTACTCCCATAGGAGAGAATTGACATAACTCGCGAATCTGAAGTGCGACATATAGATGATAAATCTTGAAAAGTTTTAATATATAAACTTTATTATCATGGCATATATACATTTTAATCATTTTATAAAGGAGACATGATGGCATACAGTGCAATGGTTTGACGTAAATAAAACCACACCTGAAGATGGCACATTAGTGGCGAAACATGTAGTGAGGAGAAAAGTGAAATTGTGTGCACTGTAAGACGGTCGGTACAAATACACATCATGAACATTTAACAATTCAGTTCCTCATTCAAAGCAAATGCACTGCATCTCCATCATAAAAACCAACTGTTAATTAATTTAGGGAAATAGTCATTCTTTGAGAATCATATGACTAACGAAAATACAATGTGTTGACAAAACATAGTGTTTTTGGGGGATGTTCATGTGTGCATTAAAACATGTGGTACAAATAATAACCTTTGTGCTTTAAAAAGTTAAATGCTACATTGATGCAAAATATTTTACATTATCTCTAGTGAGGGTCACAGAATATGCACTTCCATTAGGTTGTGCTGACCAATAATGTGTGAATCACAGCACTGGTTGTACTTCAGTTTTACCCTTCATACTGACTGCATAACTTCAACACAGACTTTTCTTCCGGACTAACCTCCACAGCATCCCAATATTGATCTTTTGTTTTGGAGATTCTTAACAATTTATTTAATGCAAACTGTGTACCCCTTTTCAATTATCTCTTTCTTCAAAGTAAGAGATTTGCATATTTAAAACACTACTTACCTTTCTCCTTTTTGAGTGTATTCATAATTCGGTCTACCTCATCTCTTGATAGATCTTGAATCATAGCCTGGAACTTCTTGCTGACATTTTTGAAGAGTTCTTCTATGCCCTCAATTTCATTCTGTAATTGCTGAAAGAAGTTTATGGTTTTCTTTTATTTTCATTCAACACAGCTAGGTAAGGGTACAAAAGGTAAAGTTGTCCCTGTGCTTAACTACATAATTATGCACTACAGCATGAAGGTGTATAGGAGAGTGGATGTATAGATCCACATTTTCTTGACCTTGGCACTAGTTGGAGGTGAGTGGTCAGATTCATGCCCCTGTCACTTTACGCCAGGGAAAGAGCCCCTTGTACCCATTTGATAGGAGGCTAGGTGGGCCCCAGAGCCGGTCTGGATGACATGGAGAAGGAAAAATTGACTTGAACTCCGAACCCTCAGCCGTCCAGTCCATAGCCAGTCACTATGCCAACTACACTATCCTGGCTCCAACATAGCATGTTCATAAAATAATTATTGGAGTTTCATTAGGTATGATCTCTGGGATAGATTAAGAAATAATACAGACCAAACATTACAATAAGGGCATCCACTGAATTTTTATTTATGTGACATCTGATGAATCAAAATTTGGTATTTTTTACAATTTCACATAACTACTTATGAGAAAGATTCCTGACAAGAATTCAAGGAGATTCATATAAGCAACTTTACATGACTAATTTCTTCACGAAAACACAAATGCTCCTACCTAAATGGATGTCCTACAAGTATGTACTTTCCACTACAATGAGCTTTTAAGCTAAAACAATGTAACTGCTCAGAAAATTTTATAATATTATTGGATATACCAACTACAAAACATTTAAAAAAAAAGTTTAAATGAAGATTATATTTAGCTATATAATATCATATTATCATTGGAAATAACACATCTCCTGAGTCACATAATTGTTTTTTGTTTTTTTTTTTTTCATTTATGAAAGTACATTCCAAGATCATTATTTTGTCAAACCCTATTTATTTTCAGGGGCATGTGGTAGCAAAGTTGGTTGAGGCACTATGGTAGAAGCCAGAAGGTAGTGGGATCGAATCCCAATGAGGTGATTTTTTCAATTTACCTTATCCTTCCAGCCGCACTATGGTCCTGGAGTCGACTCAGCCTCTAACAGAAATGAGTACCAGGAATATTCCTAGGGTTAAGGGGCAGCTGGCGCATAAGGCTGACCTTACCACCAACTGTGAGCCGACTGTCTAGAAAATGTGGGAGCCTGACATCTCACAACCCTATGGGCATCCATGGCCTGTTACAGGGATACCTACTATATTTATTTTCCAAATTGATATCATAAGCCTATTGCATACCAAAGCAAAGGAAACTAAAAGGAACCAAATAATTAGAACTATAATAATAAACTGTCCATTCACTATTTGTAACAAATACACATCCAAAATAAAACAGTTTTAAATGTCCTCAATTAAAATACCTGTAACTGTTCACCATAGATTTTGATCTTTTCTGTGGAACTAAGCTGTGAGGATGAAAGAATTGATTCTGCATTCCTCAACCACTGCTGTAGACGCTCCACTCCAGCACGGTAGTCCTTACGATGCCTGAGTATATCTCCTGCATGCATATACTGTTTCACATGCTGAAATGTCAAGCAACAAATGAACTTCTATCAATGACAAACATCAAGGAAGAGCATACTAATACCATAAACTCTGAGAGTACTGGAAGTTATTTTGCTTCATTTTCAATTTTAATACTGCATGAAGCCAATAATAAAGCGATCAGGTATGTAACAAAGAACCTGACATTCTGACTACTCATCAGAAGTTAGCATACCTGGAAGAGGTCTTCCCATCGGGCAGAGATTCTGAGGTACCTCTCCCTCAGTTCATGTGCTACTTGATCTTCACAGGTAGCAATGAGGAAACTGACGGTGTCTCCCAGGAGCTGGAACTTGTCCTTCCACACACTAACATCCTAAACCATACAATACATAATGTAAACCTCGGGCATTCCAATAACATTGCTCCTTTAAATGAACATCCAAAACTTTCAAGTTAAATATGCTATTCAGTCTCTTAACAAATCCTGTATCTCAAAACAAATATGGTGCTAATTTCACCATAACCCACAAACATTTGTGTTTAGTTCCCATTCATAAGCAAGGAATTGTTTTCACTGCTCCATATACTATGGGAACAAGGATGTATCATCAACAGTTAGTGATGTAGTGCCATTAGGTCATCATTAGAAAATTACATCCTATTTTCAAAATACTTCTGGTATTCTCGGGCCAATGTCAAATTCAAACTCAACAAGTCAAAGATGTTTCTTCCTTACGGTTCCCTACACTATGCATAATGTACCCTAGCTCACAGAGTAGATGGGTTTTATAAATCAGCACAGTTCAAGAAAAATGGACACTAAGCAGCCTAGTACAACTTTCTGTTATTCTTTGTGCCCAAAACATCTCAAATAGAAACAAGCAAGAAAAGAACACTCAGAGCAAAACCTGAACAGCCAAAACCTGATTCTGAATTATGATGAAGTGGAAAAATTGAAACAGTAAAGAAGAGACAAGTATTTCCTGACTTGCTGTGGACAAACAAAATGGACAGCTCACTAAACCAAACTTTCAGATTTCTTTTTGATGATTAAATTTTCAAATTATGCACAAAAACAACAAGTACATTCAGGCTGATGCAGCATTTCACTCTAATTACCTGAAAATATTCCATTTTATCCTCTTCTGGCAAATCAAGCAATCCATATGCTCGGTCAAGCCAAGACTCAAATTCTTCAGCCAAGGTGTTCCACCTTCGCCAGTATGCAACTACTTCTTCTAACATACTTTGCACACAGCGTAGTTCCATTGACACATTCTTCCAGCGTTCACCAGTTTCATGCATAAAGCGATCAATGCTTACACTTTCGCGCTGGTCTGAAATTCATGTAACATATTCATTATCTGTTACAAATAATATCTCCTGCGGATGACAAATGTATCTTTTGTACTTTTGTGTTGAACATGGTCATATACTTTGATACCAATATTTTTATTCTTACCTATATAATGAAAATATGCTCCTAAATTAAATGTCAGTATATATATTCTTTCCTGTTTTCACCTTCAGTTGTCATGCAGGATAAAGGTTGGTTAGATTTGTGAACAAATTAAAATACACACATTGAATTTTGCTTTTGCATTTAAAGCGTAAAGTCTAAATTCACAAACTGCCACAGTACTGCAACTTACAGTGATTACAAGAAAAAAATACTTCCATTAAATGTTGCTGATTAGTTCAATCAATCAATTAAATTAAAAGCTCATGACAGAGTTACTAAAACATTTCACCTGCTTACTATTTTATAAGTTATCAGTCTTTTTCAAAAACCATCAAGAACAGTTCCACACAACTTCCATCCTTAAAACCTACTTCACGAAGATCCTACTTATATGTTATGCTCTCATCTACTTCCCAGTCTTCCAACTAGTCATTTTCCACTAGATTTCACCAAATTTCTATGCCGCCTCATCACAGTCCCAGATATTCTGCTATGTTAATAATACTTTTATGACCTGAATAAATCATGAAATTTATTATTATTATGTAACATCTAATGGATGACTTTACAGTAATCAAGATACACTGACCTGCCACAAAAACATGAACAGAGTTCATTAAATTGTTAAGGGTGAATAATTAACAGATTTACTCGTATGTGTACTGATCTTCATGAAACTTTAAACATACAGCAACTATGCCTAATACAGGGGGGAGGCTTTTTCCTTCATGGCAGTGGAAGTTTGGCCAACTTACCAATATTGCCTTCTCTCCTGTACTCCTCTACTACTTGTTGCATGTCAATATAGGCCTTGTTGAATTCTTGGAAGATTCGATTTCGAGATACAAAATTACGATACTGCTCTAGTAGCTGCTGCACTTTTTCTTCTTGTCCGTATTTCACTGTCCATCCCCGCAGTTTAGTCTCAGTCAGGTGCAGGAATGCAATCAGGCAGCACTACAGAAAAAAATTAATTTATACAAATAACAACATAATCTGAAAAGCGTATTTGACATAACACAAGAAGTTCTGGGAAGAACTAATCACCTGCTTTTCTGTGGTATAACACAAATTGCATNAGGAGGAGGGGGGGGGAGTATATGCTTTCATACCTTATGTTCAAGGAATTTGAGTCTGACTCTGCGCTGTGCAGCTCTTGGACCAATCATTTCAAATCGCTCGGTCAAACTTTCGAGTTGCTCTGAAGGAACATCCACAGCATCGTGGGACAGTTTCGCTCTTTGGAAATTGGCTTGAATAGCTGGTAAGTCAGCAAAGAAAACCTGAAGGAAGACACCATAATATAAGACTTCATCCTGTTTGTGCTCTTCATCTAAGGTGTTTAGGTTGGTAGTCATGTAAACTATGAGTAAATCAAAACCTTTACAGTTTAATCCATAGTAATTAATAATAAAAATCAATATGGTTTTGAAATAGTTTGTGTGACTGCTAACCCAAATACATCAAAGGCCTCAGAAATATCACATTTAACCTGTCTCTGACTTGGTTAGCGGCACAGCAGGAATGACACAATGTAACTGTTGTATCAACTTTACATTAGTAGTAGCCTCAAAACGTTTTGCAGCAGCAGCTACATCTAGAATCTAGTGGCACTATTATATAGTTGCCTTTGATCATCCTTGAGCCTGTGGAGCTACTAAAACCTTAATGTGGGACCTCGCCTGTTTCCACATACAATCCAAAAGAGATGTAGTCTATTTGGAATCTTACCAACCACTGATAAAGTCAGATATTGCTACACTGCTTAAGGTAACCCATTTCTCCACTTCAAAACCTTCCATACACTGCACATTCCTCTTTGACTTATGTTAAGTTTAACTGGCATTAAACAATTCCACTACCTACACAGATGAAGCATGCTTGACTCAACATTTAATCATTTACCATGGAACATAAGAAAATTATCAGCTGATGTTAAGAAATTTAGATTAGTCACTAAAAATTTCCTTTTTAAGGGAATCTTTCTATTCAATAAATGAATACCTGGAATGGTCTATAAATCTACAGTTAAAGTTTATTCTGAATGAAATTCATATTGGTGTAATTGTGATAATATGTACTTATGGGAGTATTTTGTATCTGTATATCATTGTTGTGACTCGAAAATTGTTCATTTGTTGTACGTATGTTGACAAAGTTGTGAGTTACAGCTGCTTTTATCATAATATTTTATCTATGTATTATATTTTACTTTTCATTTTATATCTTATTTTAGTACATATATAAATGGACTGCTTCTATATCTGTGGTGACTGTCTTGCCTGTACGGATTGCTTGCGGTAATAATAAATCAAATCAAATCAAATCAAAATATAGACAAACAGGTTAGAACCTATCTGCCCCATATCACCCTATGCACTTCTGTCCTAGACCTTCATTTAGTTATGCATACATACATTGTGGTGCACATTAAGGATCAGATCAAAGAACACATGTACTACAAAAATAATTATAATTATTTATACTAATTGGAATTAATTCCTGTCATAAGGGTCAGCACTTAAATTTCACTTGAAGAATAAGTTTTACCTTATGTTCCTCCAGTTTCCTGCTGATAATACTGGCAGTCTCTTCATTCATTATAGTAGGGATATCATCAGAAGCTATAAGAGCCTCTGCCCGTCCCAGCCACTCTCCTACTTGGCCGAGATCACCAGGCAATCCTGAGTCCAGTAGCCACAGCCAGTTATGAAGCTATAAAAATTATTTCATAATATTTTGTTGGTTACATAACAGTTCATACTTATAGTCTTCCTCAGGATACAAATCATTACCACCCTCCCACCCTTGCATCCTGTTTGTAAAGAAATACAGGATTCATTGATACTAGTAGGCTTTTGTGTTGTTGTGACTATTCCAATTCTGACAACAGGGTGTCTATCAGTTTTTCACCATACATTTTCTATATTAACTCAATGTAACTTAGAACTTAGTAGTATTACATATCATGATGAACATGTCATTAGGTTGAAGATTAATTGTACTTTATCAACTATAGAGGTCATTCATCATTAAATTAGAAGAGAAAATGACAATATAATAATGTAACAGATTTTATCAACGCGTTGCCAGGCAATAGCTCTGCAAGATGGTCCAACATGCAACAACATGAGGCTGTTTTTTCTATGTCCTCTGCGCCGAGCATCAGTAGAACAATGGGTTTTACAACATGTTGCTAGGCAACAAAGCAGTAAACACACTTCCACGTAGGCAGTGACGTCACACAACAGTGGATAGAGACCGCATGATGTTTTCTGTAGGTTTGTGCCATAGGTTTATGGGGAACACTAAACGTCGTTTGCAGGCATTCGCAGACTGGAAGAGTGAGCAAACAATTGTAAGCTGGAGAAGCACAGCAGAAGCTAGGAGCAGATGAGTACAGATTAGGACAGAGGAAGAAAGAGTGACTGAAGAAGAAATGGCAAGAAGACTTCACAGTGATTTGAAGTGCTAGTTTCTGCGTTGAGATCCGTTGCTAGGGTATGACTAGAGGAAACTGAGAATCCTAGTGCATGTGCAACACTGAACTAGAAAGTGTGTAAATCAGCTATGGTGCTGTATTGCTTTTACTTAAAGAGTGTCTGTATAGGAAGGTGTTAATAAATCCAATCATCTGAGCTAGAACCTGTTATTTTCATCATGCGTACCATCCTACATGTGAAGATATTAAACTGCACAATAACAGAAACTTTCCCTTGCTGAAATTTGATCTGAACACCTTCCAGATAAGCAGTCATGCTACTACTCCATCTAACCTCTTCCACAAGTACCAATATCAACTAATGCAATACAATGTGCAAAAATTAAGATTCACAGTTCTTATTATTAGGCACAAACAAACACAATGCTTACCTGTGTTTCTAGTTTAGTCCAGAGTCTTTCAATTTCACGCCATGACTCTACAGTAATGGTAACCATACTTTGTGACTCAATCACTCTCTTCAGCTTCCCAAAAACTTTTGCTTTCTCGTCAAATTCACCCTTGAATGTTTTGTAATCCTACATGAACAACAGAGAATACTGTATTTACTTCGTTTCATATACTACCACAACTAATCCAGAGACAGGAAACATGCAATGTAGTTAATGTTGTATAAACGAGAAGGCCACCCGACTTTTATTTACAGGTGTATAAAAACTCTACACAACTGCCTAGGATTATGCATCCTCATGAACTTTGTACTACCAAGTTATAACATAAAGACACAATGAAGAAATGAAATGAAGTACAACAAACTCTCCATTATCCAGTACATATGGGAAATGGGCTGTACCACTCATGTAAGAAAAACCCTTAAATAACAACACATCAGGTATCCCAGTGGTATCTTAATCTGATATGATCCCCTACCAACATAAAAATGTTGTTAATTGCTGCTACTTCTGAATTCTCCCCTTACACTTGTAAATCCTTATACACATGTATCCACAGTTTTTCTGTATACAGACTACTGAATTCCTGGACATCCGCCACTGTCTCCTCTGAAATTCTGAGTTGACAAAGGCAAATTTACAGTAAACTTTTCACCTTCTTATAAGAGTAACTGAATATAATTGTGATAAAATAATGTTACATAACTAGTTAAAAGAAACTGGCTATATACAAACAAACACAATTACATAATTACAATTACATAATATTACAAATATCAAACTAATTTCTAAGGCAATTAATCATATATAAAATAAATATTTAAAGCTCAGCTGAGAATCATAACAACTGTGATGCCACTCAAGTCAGTTTCAAATGTCTTTAATATGCAACATCAGTCACTAAATGATATGGTTATGTGGCAATGACTTTCCGCAAAGAGAATACATGAATATCGACCACAGTCACATTAATCGAGTCTCACATTCTGTAAGGTCAAAACTTTCATACACTAAATGCTTATTTATTAAACTGAAGTTCTCTAAATATTTCAAAATAATACTGTACATTGTTTAAATTGGGCTTTGTTGGGGATAGAAAGAATATTGATTACATATGAGAATTCAATAAATTTGGGAACATTAAATTGGAATTTCAATATAATTCACACCAGATGCTTGCTCAAAATACAAATTAATTACCAACAAAGCATTATATAAACTGACAGGCCTACATCAGTGCAATATCTACTTACAGAATAAACCATGGACAATGAATTGGTCTGCTGGAGATGTTCTAAGTACTGAGTCTTCTTAAGTAGCCATGATATCAGTTCATTATATTCAGCTTCAATTGCACCCAAAGTACTTGAACCATCAGCAGCCTGTACACAAAAGATATAACTACTAATACAAATATTAATTATATTGCTTATTTTTAAATTATAATTGTGTTTACATTTTTAAGGAATGTCAGTTGCTTTCTCAATTGAAAGCATTTAGTGTTAAAACATGTCTGTTTCTACATTTCATATAATTTTTTTTGCAAATTCTGTGGGCATACTGATTCTGAAACAAGTATTCACAAGTTAGTGCAAGATATTATTCCATAATTGGCCAAAAAAATCACAATTCGCCTGTAACATAATCTTCTATTCACAAATAACAAGTAACAAATTTCTATGGGACAGGTAAAAGCTGGTGACCTGAATGGGACAAAAATCTGGATCAGAATGGTGAAATGCCACAGGTAATTACCAATGTGATGTCCCAGAATGTATGCCAGAGACTATAAGCTTTCACTTACATGACAGAATAGTTGTTAAAATAATTTACACATCCCTACATTTGCAAGTTCGCCACACCATATTCAAGCATTTCAACTCAAAATGTCATATTCTTAATGTTACATATCATTATAACATACCAAATAATGTCATAATATGCCAGCTGAGAAAGGTACACATAATCTGTGCTCTGTTATTACTTCTGAGTCATAATACAACTGATCATGAATTTTGCTTATAAAAGTAAGTAAAAGTAAAGGTATCCCTGTAACAGGCTGTGGAGGTCCAGAGGGTTGAGAAATGTTGAGGTTCCCAAATTCTCCAGACAATCGGCTCATAGATGGCGGCAAGGCTGTCAGCCCTACACGCCAGCCGTCCTTTACCCGCAAGAATATTCCGAGAATATTGCTGGTACTCNTTAAGCAAAGTATGTCGGAAATGAGAGTGCTTATATTTAAATTCAGCTTCTAAAATTCAATCAATCAATACAGTTGAACCAACCCTGGGTTCAGGATATTTGTGCAGGAACTGAGCAACATATGTCATGATGGACTTCTCATCAGGCTGAGGCACATCAACATCTTCCGGGTCGAGAAGTCGTGCAATTCCAAGTTCACTCTCAGCCACATTAAAGGCTGTTTCTAGACGAGTCTTGTTAGAAGCTTGGCGCATTGCTGGGAAGTTGATTAAATTTGACTTGATGGCATCAATAATGGCAAGGAAAGCAAAACCATCTTGCCAACTACCACCAAAATCTCGTACTTCAATACCATGATCCCTGCAAAAAGAAAAATACATATAAATATTTAGTATAAAGTGAAGAACCCTAACAAGAACACAGTATTAAGACAATTATTCAAAAAGTTAGGAAATGTATAAACAGCATACCAATTCTGGAATGTTCACACAATTAAGCCTCTAAATTTCCAAATAATGCAATGCTGACTTCTAATATCCTGTTATAAATAGGATAAAACTGATGCCTTTCAGCAAAAATACTGAGAAATGCAAATATTTTTTAAAAATTTATCTTTCCACTCACATACAACAAATATACCATGGCTGAAATCATGTAAACTTCAAATAAAAACAAATGTTAATAGCAGAGTTGGTGCAAGCTGCTGTACACAAAGAGAAATCTCCCCCACACTCAATTAAATCAAGTCAACTTTCTCTGACCTTCATCACAACTAACAACATTAAATTCTCAGAACTGTGGTAAAAACCATCATTGGTGTAACAATTCTTTATACAGTTTTATCAACACTGTTGCACAAAATGTTTATATTGCTGCAAGTTAATGGTAATGATATAAACAAAACATTATGAGAAATTTCATTTAATAAGAAGCAAAAATGAAAAGAGTTTGTAAAATGTGCTGGCCTAGATGACCTCACAGTTAACCTTTGCTATGACACTAGCCCTGCTAACAAGAGCTGTATACTGTATTGAACAAGATTACATACACATCAGTCTTGCATCTACCAAGTACATTAATAAAAAGAGCTTTGTTTACTGACTCATTCAGTGACCATTTAAATCAGGAACACTTTTCATTCCTTGTCATGTGATTTCAGTATCAAACAAGAAGTTTAAATATGAAGCATAAAAAACAAATAAGATTCATCATATACAATTCATATATGAATTAAAGTTAGATAAAATTAGTTCTAATCAATAATTGTAAAATACTCTTTTTTCAAAATGTCTTACTTGGGGAGTGTACTGGTGACCCAATGTAGCATTGCTCTCCTAGCACCCTGCCTCCTTCTTTCATTTGGCTCTTTCTTCTTTCCTTCAACTGCTACCCCCTCAGATGAGCGTGCACCCAGGCTCTCCAAACTGCTGGCACTCCCACCAAATGCGTGATCCAAAGATTCAAGTGCTCGTGTGTTTTCTTCAATCTGTTTCAATATATAGATGCAATATGTATCAGATCTTCGTTCTTTTATTCTGCTAACCTTCATAACAGCAAATTAATTACGTTTCCACACCTGGCAGTTACAGCGGTTATACTCTACTTTTCTACTTCTGTAACACCAAACAGAACATTCTACTGCAATATCGAATTTATATCCAATAAAGGGAATACTTGCGCTTTCCTCTTATTCCATGCCATTCAATGTTTCAGTCTCTGTTAGAAAATTCTGCAAAGATAATCATGACCTGAAAGCTGTCCACCAAAGATGCTGCTGTCATGAGCCACTTTGGTGTAGTCAATATTTATTTCTTTGAAGGCTCATTTTAATAAGAAAACCTCAGGACTAAAATCTTGGGTGACACTTTTCTATGATCCACTGAAATGTAATGCTTTTTTATGTAATACTTTTTTATCAGTTCCTTTTTACAGTGTGAGGTTGTTAGGCTCATGCCCAACCCCCAACCTGGAGGACCAGGGTATCCCTCTCTGTCTGACTCCTACCCCTTGATGTGTCCAGCATGGGTGGCTCTACCAGTAGCTATGCTACCATTGGCATAGCTCTCAGGGTCTCAGGAGCTCTCAAACCCCACTACCACAATAAGGTGGAGATACCATTGGTGGAGCAATAAACAATCTACCAATCCTTATACAATCTACAGTCAAATATCTTGGGCTTCACCTTGATCAAAAGCTCACATGGAAGACCCATATTCGGGCCAAGAGATTACAACTATCAACAAAAGTGAGAAACATGAGCTGGTTAATTGGTAAAAAAAATTCCAGCTATCATTGGAAAATAAACTCCTCATTTTCAAAACTACACTCACACCCATATGGACGTACGGTATAGAACTGTGGGGCTGTAGTAAACCATCAAACATCAAAATCCTACAAACATTCCAGTCAAAAACACTACGTTACATAACTAACGCTCCATGGTTCGTCTCAAATCAAACTCTCCACGAAGATCTTGGAGTTTCTTATATAAATGAGGCCATAAACAAACAAGCCATCAAATACAGAAACCGCATTGTGGATCATGAAAATCAACTAATAAAAGAACTCGCCGTCCAACCCTTAGTGAACAGAAGACCTATTCTAGGTAACGGAGGATAACCCATCAGTGGATGGTACTCCCTACAAGCCATGCAACGCCCTAACATTTGCTTATTACTCTGTATTAGTACATTATGAGTAGACTGTAAATATCCTAAAATAAATAAATAAAAATAAGACATATACAAAATTTTTTCCCTTGTTATTCATTTCTCTCTACCTCCTTTGGTGGGAAGCCTCAGAGCGAAGAAGAACATAAAAAATACAGTATACTTTCATCCTGATTCTTGGAACATAAAACACTTTTAAATTACTGTACAAATATTACAAAGCACTGAACGGCAGCACAACTGTCACAGCCACACAAGGTAGCATTAAATATCTTAAGGTGCAAAGTAGTGAAGTGTACTATCTTCTGGGATATAACGCCGTGGAGACCGTTGAATATCAACGGACGTTTCAGCGGAACATATCACCTCCATCTTCAGGGTCGAATAAGACAAACAAGATATAAGTATGAAAGCAAGTGGCAAGAAGATGGGAAAATGTAGTATTAACCATAATGTTCAGCATGTAACTTTATATCATCCATTCTCTTTTACTGTTGAGATATTTAACAGCCAGTTTAATGTGTAGTGCATTAGAGACAGTTTAGCATCGAAAGACGCAACACAAAAGGCAATGGCAAACTCACCCCCTTAAGTTCCTTGTGTCGAAGCTTGTATTAGGAAAAATAACATGTTTTACTATGTGATGTTAATTTGTAACAAGCATATTTATACTCTTGTGCAATTAACTAAACTAAATAATTATTTCAGTAAGCAGTATATTACACAAATATCAGCCTACTAACGTGAAATTGTTTTTATAAGAAAGATCACAGCATTCTTCCATCATCTTGTGATGAATATTAAATAAATGTATTTTACTTTAAGTCATCAATATGTTAACATTCTGATCATTTATATTCAAAGCTATTCCACTTGTCTAAACACAAGATAAATGAAAACTGTTGGATCTCTTCTTTCTATTACATATTGTTTAAATATGTGAACATACTATAGGCAGAAGCAAACCCATGCACATTATAAAATGCTTTGATAATATGTAAACATACCTGGAAGTATAGAATAATGGTCCAAATAAGACCCAAAACAACTGGAGGTCTACCATCCACCAGATCAGAAGAATTGATGTTGACAAGTTTAATCTGAAACAGTTCAAGAAGTTTCTAGGAATGGTTTGCAACCCTGTGGGGCACCTATTAAGTTCATTCAGTCAATCCACCTGACCATTTATAAGGAACAACTCAAGAACAGCTGGACTGATTATCATGAAACTTGACATTTTAGTTTAATGAAACACTGTCAGGTCATTTAAATGTTCATTTAGATTGGAGGTGTTTAACAAAGAACCTACATGCTTTGTCTTGCTACACAAGAGCAGACAGAAGTTACAGAGAAAAATGAAACCATTTTAATGCTATACACATTTTACAACTTTCCATGATAATTAAATAAATGGAATGTTATGGCTACATTTTTTAGCTTTCATATTTAACAATCACCGATGGCCTCCAGAACATAACCACAGTAAAAAAAAAGAGCAGATGAAGTCTTTATTAAATTTAGACTATATTACAACCATTTTTTATTCTTTTAATGCAGTGCTATATTACAACACAATTTTAAAGCAATTATACGTACATATTTAATTTTCATGTATACTAACAGCAGGCCTAAACAATGAAGCCTTTACCCATTTGGTAGACACATGTACAGTTCAGGATTCTCATCAACTACAAAATTCGTATCATACCAGTGCTGTCACGTAGCTGAGTGTGACTAAAGACGGGGTTTGGAATGGTGACTTGATTTATTGACCACTTATACACATGACTCAGAACTACAAGCAATGCCACTGCTAATCTCCACAGTTCACACATCACAACAGCACCCGCTAAGCCTTCTTCCAGTCTGCTGTCTTCACTAGCCATTCTCTGGCAACCGCTTCTAACAGTGGAGATTCTTCATCTACACTTACTCAACTCCTTTCTTCACAGCCTCCCATGCAGAACTCAACTCAGCTGACTACTAACTTGGTGCCCCAACCAGGGGCGGCCCGTGTATAGGCACTGCAGAACTGCAGCACCCCCAATTTTCACATGATATTATCGATAACATTTATATAATGAGTCCTTTTTTCTTTAATTCTTTCTTTATACTTGTACAATACAATATATAATCCTTAAGCTTAATGTCAGTAGCCAAATCTTTGTATGGAACTGTGCGCTTCTGGAGCAGCACCCCCACTAATTTTAGCTACGAACCACCACTGGCCCCAACTGTCTTCAAGGTAACTCCTCTGCACAGAGCATGCAGAAAACACCATTCGTTCTCATACACTAACTGTTTCCGCAGTAATGTGTTCATGTGACCCAGCAATGAGTTGTGTACCACTGTCTATTAAGAATCTGCTGCACCAGCAACAGACATTATTTCATAACCATTACCCAGCAACACATCTTCACGCTACAATACCTTAACTGTTAATAACTGCATGTGAATTTAGTGTTGTTTCCTATAAGGGAAGAACTCACTGAAATCTCAAATATTAAATTATATTTCCTTCTGCCAAACATGCCTGTTAAGTGCATACTGGTGTCTTAGAAACCAGGCCAGAAATGGAGAAACTTAGAACACGGGATGAAAAGATTCTATATATAAGGTTACCAGTAGTAATGTCAAAACTATTTTTTTATATAGCAGTAATGAGGTTAACTTTACCTTTTTGCTTTGTAGGAACTGCAGAGCAGTGTTGGCATTGCTAAGAAAGTGTGGCCTCTTTAGGTTCCGCCCTCTTTCCACTGGCTGAAATAAATAAGAAGATACAATTACTGAGCTGCAGGAAGAATGAATGATATAGTCCGGTTATTTTGTGATACCCCCATAGCAACCACTTATTAAATATCAGAAATGGAAAAACTGTGAAGTAACAAGCCACAAGCTGCATAACCAAGGTTCAGTTCCTCTGCCACCATCACCATTAACATCAACCATCAGTCAAAAAAACAATTAGCATGAGAAGAAAGTTTTGAACCAAAAAAATTGACTAATTCATTAGTACAGGAATACTACATATACAATTTTGAGAAAATAAATCATGATGATTCAGAACGCTTTTTATCAGCAAAGAACACAAATAAAGAGAAGTATGGATCTTAGGACATGTCCTGATGATAAAACTTGAAATTACATTAAAAGAGAAAATGGAAAACTGTGAAATGTGCAACATTGCTCACGAGTTCAAAAACATTAATGGTGTAAGGTTACACTTCATAACCAATTAAGTGACTAGAAAATAATTAGACTAACAAAATAAGTTATTATAGAATTTATTCATCAACTGAATGAATTAGTTCAAAACCTGTGACAATTTCACTTTCACACATGAACATAAGAAATGTGTAACCACTGTGTTTGTGTAAAAACTTCAGTTGTGTTGGACTATGCTTTTGTATTTATATGACATATTCCACATCCTACAGTCATTTTCACTAACTCTGGATCCAGAGAACATAATGCAATGCAATGTAATGTAATATAATACAATGTAAGCTGCTACTCGTTTGTCCATTCATGACACTTAAATTTAACTGATGTAAATTCTGCCCTTATGTCTTTGAACCACGTGGAAGTGGTCACTGTTGCTGACATTTAAAGCCGGGTCCAGACTTGTTGCGTATCCCCGTATCGTACCCCGTATCATCCTTCCATTGGAAAATGATACGCAACGGGCTGTTTGCTTGCTTGGCAGTCTTTTCCCGTCGCATCAAAGGGATGACTCGGGTTGTAGTGGTGCCAGTCTGGACGTGTAGGCGGCTGCATCGCGCTTTGCTTATCAGCTCCAGACAGTTGGAGTGTAGTCATCATCAGTGTGCGTTCTTCTGTTTGTGATTCTCTGTTTATACTCTGAATGGAGTGGAGTAAGGAGAGCATTATATATTTAATTGATGAATATAAAAAGAGGGATATGCAACAAGTCTGGACGCAAAATTCTGTCGCGTTGCATCGGACAATACGCAACGGAGATACGATACAGGGATACGCAACAAGTCTGGACCCGGCTTAAGAGGTGCATGCTGCCTCCATCTTCAGGGGACCATGGTACTGCTTTTGGCTTTTCATGATCTAGAAAGTGTCAAACTGACCTACATTCTACTTGGAGCTTTCAGAATACATACATTCTGAAAAGCAACAAATCAAAAAATTTCAGGTTTCTCTCTCCTCTCCTACGGAACAGTACATGCTCATTTAGAAAGCACATAAAAAGCTATGACTAGGTATGCAAGTAACTTAAGAGGGCAATGCCTAATCTCTGACAACCCCTTTGCTGGAGTTGAGATTCTCACAGCAGTGACAGAGCCACAAACTCTGATAGAAGCCCACTGATATTCTGCAGGACCATACTGCCTCCATCTTTAGGGACACAGAGTAAGCCAAACAAAAGACCAATAAGATGTAGGTAGTGGAGAACACAGCATTACACCCCAGAAAATAATACAATTATTTACTACATTATTGACATTATTCATCACCTTGTTTTTATTTTAAAAGTCTGTAGACTGGCCTCTGTCTCTGCCCTCATGTAAAATGTCTACTCAGTTGGGCACAAGACTGTACAGACATAATTTATAGATTCAAATCCTTTACACTGGCAGACAGGTCTATCAGATCTATCAAAATCCATGAAATCTAAACTAAAACAAGCTACCCATGATATTAGACACACTTTACCTTGTTTAAAAATGGAAATGTTTGAGCAATTCATAATAACACAGTGGTCAGACTGCCTTCTCCAAAGCACTACTACTGGAAAGTGATGACCCTCAACACACTGCACTGAGAGGAACAGTCATGATATATAATATGTGAAATGAGATCAGGTCTGTAAATTTGTAAAAGGGGAAAAGTATTGCATTCTTTACTATTCATGATTTCCCACTAAAACATCAACAGGAATTACACTAGTATCTGAATAAAAGATGGCCACGCCATAGCTCAAGCGGATAGTCGCTGGCTTCCTACTACAGGGGCCTGGGTTCGATCCCAGGTCTGGTCAAGTGGGATTTGTGGTGGACAAAGTGGTGCTGGGGTGGGTTTTCTCCGAGTACTTCGGTTTCCCTTACCAATCTTCATTCCACCAAATTCTCCATCATCATAATCCCCCAGGACAGGCTACAATAGGCCAATCAGTGGCCGCCATGACGGGTGGACCCAGTTGGACTCCACCCCCCACTAAGCGAATTAATCTGAATAAAAGACTATACTGAGGCTACAAAAATAAATCATTGGGATGGCAGTACTGGAAGGCTGCTCCTCCATGCCTAGTATTTTTATTTCCCTTGGGCCCCCTTTGCCATATATCAATCAACATTAAGCACTTATGAAGATTATCACTAGCAACAATCAGGTGAAGAGAAAGGCCAGATGACTTCAGGAGAACAGAGGATAGTACAACAGAGGTAGAAGCTTATCACCTTAAGGAGATGTGGTGGCTGACTCAAGGGAGTTCTTTCTGCTGCCTCAGTATAACTAACTTTGACTTCTTGGTTCTTAATTTAAGAACTCACCAGTCTTTCACCTGACAAGACTTCCAGCAAGGCAAGCAGTCTGGTTCCATCCTTCAAGTCATCTATCAAGTCATCTATCCGAAGCGGTGGAACTCGCTGTAAGAAAGGAAACAGAATGATCATTCTCTTAATACAAGATGAAATGATTAAACTGATGTTCAAAATAATTTATATTACAACTTCAGGATACCAGTACTCCCTGTTGTCAGACAATCTGAAGATTCATCACTGTCATAACAAAACGCTATCAACTGACGTCTTGAGCTAATACAATCCAACTCATGTGTCTCTCCTGATTTTCTACATAAGACTGGGTTTGGGCCAAGTAGTTGGAATAATAATCCGTCCCTCAGCCACTAATGTCCACCACAAATCCCACATAACACTGCCTGATCCGGGACTCAGCACGGACAGCCGCGTTGGGAAGCCAGCGACTAACCGTCTAAGCTATGCTATCCTTACTTCGTATTAAAAATAATCTCGAATGTGGTGAATGTTTACCAAAACATGTGAAGCACACTTTGGTTTTATGCAGCATCAGTACAATGTGCACAGATGTGCAGCACAGAGTTTGAATTTGCACTAGCACAGACTTGCATCTGCAATAAATGAATATCAAGGGCGACGAGGTACACAAAATCGCAAACGACCCATTTCGAAAACATCTGGGGTATAGTACAAATATTATGTTTTTGGACATTATCCATCGTCTTGTCCTTATCTAAAACGCTGTCCTGTTCATAAGGGAAGCGAGGCGCTTTTCGTTGTCTGGCTGAGGGTTTATAAGAGAACTGCACTGCCTAAGGAGACAGTTGAAATGTAACCGTTGCCGAGTTCAGTTGTAGCATGCGAATCGTGAACGTGAAGCATATCGGAACGCGTGATAGAGGCGATAATGTGAGAAGGTATTGGGAGTTTGTAATACAGTGACACTGGTATAGCTCCCGTGTTATAAATACGTGAAGACTACTGAAGACACAATGAATTGATTGGTGTGTAGGAAGTGTATAGTGACACAGGATGCTTAATTATAACATAGTAAAGACTTGTAGGGCCGGTCACGGTAGCCGAGCGGTCTAAGGCATGTACTGTCTTGACTCGCTTGGAAACCGGGATCGTGGGTTCGAATCCTTCTCAAGGCATGGATGTTTAGTTTGTGTGTGTGCGTTTTTCTGTGGTTGTGTACAGGTAGAGGCCTTGCGACGAGCTGATCACCCGCCCAAGGAGTCCTACCGAATGTGTAAGATCTAGAAAAGCTGAAGTGAACGGAGAGGTACATGGAGGTAGGCCAATGCCCACTGGGGCTGTAGTGCCAAGGAAAAAAAAGACTTGTAGGTTGTTAAATAAACCAATTAACAATCCGAACGGCGTCTTCAGTGGCAAAACACGTTACATTATATACACCACCTGCTTTAACGCTAAAAGGACTATGGTTTCCTTACAGAGGACAGTTACATGTCGTATGAGTCTTAGAATACCAACACAGCTACCCCTAACAGTACTGACTAACCGGTCTTTATAAATATGACTCTCTGTGTTTCATATAAGATGAGAACTCAATTTTTAAACGTTATTTGAAAAAAAAACGTGCTTCAAAGCGAATAATCATAAAATTAAGTGAATCAACAAGTTCGTTCCTTGTTATATAGTTGGAGAGCGTTGCTCAGACCCTAGCTATCCTCCGCTCGAAACTCATGTACTGGGCCTCGACGCGGTACTTCCCAGGTTTCCACTCTCTTTCATTTCGCGCCTCAAAGGGTTCAGAGTGCCTGATGACACTTCCTCAATTTCCTCAGCAATCTGAAAGGCCATAATGGGTATTACAGATGGGAGGGATTTATGACGTACGCCGTTGAGATGACCTCAGGTGCCATGATATACACACCGAGTTTCATGAAGACTAGTTCCGGCATTGGAAAGGTGTTTTGCGGTATACACATACAGACACAAAGACAAACAGACAAAAAGGTGATTTCATAAGACTGCTTTCATTTTTTTTTTTTTCAAAATAGGAGAAGTAAACTAAAAATCAACAGTGCTTGAGTATTTAGCTTCTGGCTGCTGAGTAGGTCTATAATACACTAAAACATACAAACATCCCTCTAACAAAAGACTAAAAAAGTAAAGTAAAAAGTAAAGGTATCTCTGTAACAGGCCGTGGAGGCCCATAGGGTTGTGAGATGTTGAGGTTCCCACATTTTCTAAACAATCGGCTCAAAGATGGCGCGCCGGCCGCCCTTTACCCCCAAGAACATTCCAAGAATATTCCTGCTACTCATTTCTGTTAGAGGCTGAGTCGACTCCAGGCCATAGTGCGGCTGTAAGGATTAGATAAATTGGAAAAAAAATCCAATTACCTCATCGGGATTCGATTCCGCGACCTTCCGGATTGTAGTCCAATAAAAGACTACAATATATTATTTTTAGTTTCCACAATTACGACATACAAATGACATACAGCGAATGTCAGAGAAAACATTCTTAATGAAATCAGCTACGTATCCACATCACAAATAACACAAGGAAAATATACACATCTAGCCATACACGTAAGAGTCTGACTCGCGAGTCCGGCTCAGCGAGGAGCCGAGCTCGGATTAATTTCACCACACATATATGAGCGTGGCGACCTACACACGGACGAGTTTGGCTCATTGGAACCCGAGCATAGTCGGGCTCTCAAGCCAGACCCGCACGTGTATGGGCCCCCTAAGGCATAAAATGCTGGGATCCTGGGTTCGAATCATACTTTAGTCATGGATGTCTGTGTTTAATCTGGGTTTGTGTTGTCCTGTGTAGTTGGCGGCCATGCGACGGGCCGATCCCACGTCCAAAGGGTCCTACCGACTGTCTTTAAGATTAATGAAACTGAAGTGAAATGGTGTTTCACGGATGTCCGATGCTCCAGAGGAGCTAACTACTCCATAATTAGCTCACTGTAAATGTATCCAACTTCCAACAAAATGAAATTATATCTAACTCATTAATCTGTGTTTTTATTTGAAAATACTGTCATAATAATCGAATATCTAATCAAAACGTGGTGATTTTAATAATAATATACCGTACATTAGTGCTGTGTAGACGGACAGTAAGATACAATACAATGGTTTTAATAATACATCAACACAATGTTATTTGATTATTTCAGTTGAGTCTAAATAGTCTCCTGCAGAGAGACATACGCTCATACTTAAATATACGTTTAAGGGGATCAGGACACAAGTAGCTAACAGTTTTATGTGCTTTGCCTAGGTAACATCAAAGTACGTGGTCAGCAATAAAATCCAGCATCAAAGCGCGGCAGCCACGTGTGCTGTTCGTCGACGCTGTTCCTCAGTTCTCGCGAGATGATCATGAACACTGCACGTGCAACGCCTGTCTTTATGTCAATGTTCAACATTATCAAAGAAAATAAATTATTAGTGCATTACAGAAAATACGAGTGGTATACTAGCAATTTAATAAATATGTTCGTACCAGAACCAGTTATGTGATACTTCTTAATTCGGGATTTTTCTCTTCTGTATGAAGCCAATAATGTTGTCATCTTTTTTAAATCCAGAACTGGCATTTTCATTTCGTCACATATGTCTTTCCATGCGTCCTCGCGTATACTTTTGTTATGGCAATTAGCACTTTTTGAATTCCACAACACCTCTTTAGATTTATAAAGTTGTCTGAGAGCTAGACACTTTTCATTCTCCATTTTGCCGCGAAAGAAACGCCGGAACGCCACAAGACCGTCTCACCTGAAAGAACACAGCACACTGAAATCCCTTTGCCGCGGGACAAAGAGACCTATCCGATTTGGCTCGACACGCGCCAAGTTCGCTCGCGGCGGTATGCGTTCTACCGCGCGCGGCAACTTGGTATCGACTTTGTGAGACAAAGCTTCGAACACTGCCTGAGCGGCAGCCGCGCGCAACTGATACCCGGCTTTAATGGACGACAAGAAGCCGACGAAATTAACGTCATTTCCGTGGTTATATGGAGATGCAGTGGGGCAAACCTCTGCAACTGACTCCACACTAAGCAGACCACCACTGGAAGAACGATCTGGACCATGGAAATGACCGTCCCACGCAACAAGAGCCACCACGGCGTCTATAGACGAAACAGAACACTGCGACATCCGGTTTCCAAAGTTTTGCTCGTGTCAAGGAAAGAATGAACATGGGTAGACAGAAGAAAGCAGTCTTCTGGGATTTGGCACCGTGTATATGTGGTGTTAACCGACGTTTCGGAGGAACGTATCGCCTCCATCTTCAGGGTAGAAGAAAAAATATATATGAAATCTGCAAGCGGAGAGACCGTGCAGTCTGCTTTTACCGGTTCTCACGGTCTCTCCGCTTGCAGATTTCTTATATATTTTTTCTTCTACCCTGAAGATGGAGGCGATACGTTCCTCCGAAACGTCGGTTAACACCACATATACACGGTGCCAAATCCCAGAAGAGTGCTTTCTTTATAGTCACCGCCGTGAAAGCCTCTAATCTTACATGGGTAGACAGAGTTTAAACCGGCGTCCTGCTCCCCACGCTACCTATATTGGACACCTCTCCTCCATAAACACCAGTAACAAAGCGAGAACAATAAGTGAGAGAATACAATAAACACCTGGTGTAAGTGAAGTAGGCATGCAACTGGGCGGTAACTGCTAGGCATATAATGAGGAAGAAAAATGTCCATTCTTTCAGTGACCCGAGTATGGGGAAGGTTTACTGTTTATTTCATACTACATCATCCGCGACGGGTCACGAACAGTATGTATACCTACCTACCTACCAATCGGTGCTACAGCCCTGGATGAGCCTTGGCCTCCTCTACAACCAGTCTCCACAACCAATGCGTGGTGCCACAGGAATGGATCCACCCATGATGTACCGACGCTGGTTGTTAGATTTCTGAACAAAATTATTTTTATGCGATGAGGTTGTTAGCCTCATGCCCAACCCCTAACCTGGAGGACCAGGGTATCTGTCTTAGTCTGGACTCTACCGTTTGACCTTTCCGGCAAGGGTGACCCTACTGGTAGTTAAACTACCGCCGGCATAGCGCTCCAGGTCACAAAGTCACGGAAGCCCCACCACCAG